CTCTGAAAGGTGGAGAAAAGACTGGGGCGGAGTACGGAATGTATCCAATGTTATCTTCGCTTTAGAACGTGACGCATGAACCCACGGGATACACTGATCAGTGTTAGTTTATTCTTTGGGACATTTCACCAAGACAGGTCCGATCCTCTCTACATACTCATACATCCTATAATTCAAAAGGACCGCCGGACATTATACGTCAATCCCCCGTCTTTAGATGATAAACGCCGTGAAATGTCACCTGGCGATGCACGGAGTGAAGCCCAGTTCGGTGCTGAACGTGAAAATATCAAGACTATAAATGTGACTCTGAGATTGAAGCCGCTGCTGAGGCTAGGAGGTTCCGAAGTATTCGACTCGAATTCAATGGAGAGCATGCATCTACACACTTTCTCCTCTTCTCCGACATTATATGTAGGCACATATCTGAACAGTGTTCAAAAATGTGTCCCATGAAATTGGCGAACAAACTGACGTGTCCGGGTCACAATATCGGTCGTCAATGACATTGTCACTGTTTAGTAAAGTGAGGAAAAGTCGACAGACTTTGAAGAACCATCGGATCAGAGAGCGAGACCTTCTAAGGCCTCCCCTTTTTCGCCTTAGTCCCAGGGTCATGCAATCTGGTGGTATGTAAATCCTGTTATGAGCCATAGGTTGCACAAATGTTTTGAGTGGAAACCAGTAAAAATCGCTACATTCGAAACATGACATGCTATAAATCGTCGGTGAACGCACTTTCAGTGTTGTGTACTAAGCAATAAATCGACCTAAAGGTGAAGGTCAAATGTGAAAAAATTGGAAAAACGTGAAAGCATGGACAGACAAGGACACGCATCAAACACTGAATCATTCATCCATGGCCATTGGGTTCCCAGAATTCGTGTTCGCATCACTCTCATTGGATGTGCATTGGAATGGTGAAGACACACACACACTAGTAAGGCCTGATGTGAGGTGATGGAATTTTCAAGACCACATCGACACGTAGGGTCAACCAGATCGACACGGACCACGTGACGATCGACAGGAATAGTGCAACTTTGAAGTGAAAATGAATAGTCTGCCACATAAAAACGTCGCTCCGTAGGAAAGGTATGCGAAGCAAAACTGTGCCCGACAGATAAACGTGAGAATCAAGAAGCGAGAAGACGAACAATGTAACTGGGGTGATAGTGTAAGTAGAACTGTATGTGGTTGAATAATGCTAGCTTTATGCCGCACAATTTGAAATCGTGTGCTCAAGAGAACGACCAGTTTGTCAGCTTTAGGCAGGGTAGGAAGAAGAGAAAGTGATCAGCTGTAGACCCTTTCGGTGCTTAGCTGCCATGCTACCTGAAAGAAGCACGAGGGTTGGGATACTACCAGGTTGCCCAAACCTAGACAGGGGAAGTCGACAGACAGAGGTCGGGTTCGAACCACGAACCATCAGGTCAGTAAATTCGCGCGCTAACCACTTGGGCCATCCCGCATACGATTACGGCAAATATTGAAATATTAAACGACCGGGTACCTAATGACAGTGTCAGGGAATGCTGTCAGCATAGTCTGCTCCTCCCGAACTTGGTCCGGAAATACCGAACACAATGGTTTGACCCTGCAAACTAGATTTCGAAAACATCACAACCGAGAGATTCAGCTGGGTTCCAGGTGAGTCTCTCGAAAGAAAAAACCAAATTAGTTTATGAGTGTATATTCGCTAATTTCGTGCAATTTGGTTTCAAGTAGAACATAAAGTTGACGAAAACCCGGAGACTGCGCCTACCTGATGAGCCCCAAAAAGGGCGAAACCGGTCGTGGGCTGTCGACGGATTTTCAGCAACCTGATGAGGAGTACATTACAAAGATATATACTTCAAACAGTTTAAACTTTTCGTTTCCCTGCTCGGGAGGGCGCTGTCGAAACACTAGGACCGACGGTGAGCTACTAAATCCGCAGGTGACCAACGGCGTCGCGCAATGGAGCAGAAACCGGGTGATGCTGCGCTCAGATCTCGCTGATGGGCAGCAGCGATTCCTGGAGCCGACTCACTTTCCTCTAGAAAAAATTCACCGCAAAATAAAGCAGGTATTCTCAGGCGATTTCAGTGGTAAACAGTTCTAAGTAGCTGTCACGAAAATGTGAAGATTTTTGGCATGGTGCGGAAATATTGGTAGGTCGGGTGCGTTCATTGGTAGCTGATCAGGGTGCTATTGATCTGTTCAACGAGCTTGGCACACTATGTAATGAGGATGTCTCCTCGTTTGTAGGTCGATTGCCAAGCTCGGCAAGCAGACCAACAACCAATTGTGAAGATTTGTTTTAATTTGACGTTAAAAAAACTGAAGACGAATTTTGAAAGCTCCCCATCTATGGGTTGATTACGCTAGAGTTATGCCGTCCATCTTCATTCGTTTTAGTTCATTAGAAAGAACTTCCTTCAACCTCCGCTTCCACAAACCGTTAAGAGGAACGAAACGCGAATATGTCGTGGTTGCGAGATCTAAGCAAAGAGGAGGTTAGGTGAGCAATGACTTTCAGGAACTGAAGTGAGGCAGACGGCAGGAGTCACGAGACCAGTAATGTCTACGGGAAGGGGAACAAAGTCGTTAAAAGAATGACTTACGGGCCCATCCAAGCAGTCCGGCTGCGGGGACGATTGCTTTGTTTCGCTAACCGTGAAAACCCTGATGGACAGAAAAGTACGGAAACAAGAGATATTAACAGAAAGCACAACAACTAGACAGGGAACAACTTCAGTGGAAATTGGCTAGCTTAAAACGTTATTGCACTTAACTTGGCATCATGATATTCCCTATTCATTTGCTTTCTCTGCTCATGCAGTTATTGATTTCCACCTGCTTTGCTCCTCCGTCTCACCCACTGTACACCTTTTCGCAAAAGCCGTCTCTTATTCGACGCTGCTACACCGGTACGTGTCTACTTAGGCGTTGGTGTTCGTGCCCCGTCCGTTGGGCCTGCTTTGACTTGTTTCGCCGCGACTTCCGTGTGACAGCAACGCCAGTCAGACTGACGAAACTGTCCCCAGAGGAAACAGCTACAACCCACCTCACCGGGCCAATATTCCGTTCAGCGTTACGTTGTGTGCGACCTTGGAAGCTGCGCTGTGCCAATGAGTGACAGACCGGAACTCCTGTTGATACATGAGCGTGCACAAATGAAACTTTCCGTGAAATTTTGTCTATTCTTGTGTGAATAGGTAAGTTCCGTATCGGGAACCTCACCAATAGCGTAGCTCAAAAATGGCTTCAGGTCTGTCGGTACAGAATCTATTGGTCTGCTGGTTGTGATGTGGACTTTTGATTCACAACAGATGATCATCTCTTATCGAGGGATCTGCTTTCCTCAATCCGCTAAGGCTGTTATTGGACTGGGACTTCCTAAGGTCGCAGTCATGGACTTGTGTTTGCTTGCCATTGTAGGCTCTCTGTGTACTTATGACACTTTTATGCGTGGCACATGGCGTTGAATGTACCTCTTCGCCACTTAATCTCACACCAGACCCAGTATGACGGACACTTTGTGCCTGATGTGCGAGTATTGACTGTGCTAGCGCCTACCGCGCCTTGAAGAGCACTAACCAGTGTTTGTCCTTTCTTCGGTTTTTGATCCTTAGACGCGTGTTTCCATATCGAAATTTTTACATACTTTGGGATTCACCTCATCAGACTGGCACTGTTCTTGGAATGATTTCGAATGAGACGTTTCTCTCTTTTCTCCCATATTCTCCTGTTACTCTTTCGCATTCATCGCTGGCATTCACTTTTTATGTTTGTGACCATGCTCTTCAAAAATAAATGATAGTTGTTATGTACTAGGAAGCTCTTTTTCCCAACCTATGTTGTCTTGGCTCTTGTGAAACGAAAGTATTACGTCAACGTGATAATCAAAAAACTGATTGTCGAAGCTGTTGTTGTACTGGGTCCCCCCTGTACAATGGATGTCTGTCAGTCTTCCAAAGATTATGGTCATTCGGCTGTAAGACCCTTTCGGTGTCTAGCTACCATGCTTCACGGAGGAAGCACGAGGGTCGAGATACTGCCAAGTGACAACCAACGGACCAGTAAGGTCAAAGAAAGAAAGCTAGAAAACAGGATGTTAAATCAACCAATCAAGTAGAGCGAAGCCAGACAGCAAGCGAGAAAGAAGCGGCCCAATTACAATCACGGAACAGAAATACTGAAACGAAGCTACCCAACGAACAATCCAGATACAAGTGAATTACATCAAAACGTAACTCGTGTTCCAAGCCAATTTATCAAATAATGCGGGTAAATAACAATCACTTCATAGGTGTTAGAGGTTGTTTAAAAACTGAGTTTGGTGCAGGCAAAATAGGTTAAGTTTGCCAGTTAATTCTCACGATAGCACTTTGAATAGCAATGAAACACTCGCAAGCGAACCGCCAATTTCGACGAACAGAACGACAACTACAACATGTACCCTAGCTACCTGCATTCCACATCGCCAGTGGAATTTTGTTGAAGGAAGGCGAGTCAGAGAATGCAGACGACCTTTTCAAAGGTTTTTCCGAAACAACAGAATTGTTCTCCCAGTAGTTTTGGCATGTAGGAAAGTAAATGCGAAGCTGACGACTTTTGTGGCTCAAGAAGCACTTGGATACATACCCGGGCCGCCAACTGCCCTCAGGCAGTCCTTTCGTCGCTTGTCACAACAGTATGCCCGGAAGGATATCCGCTGCGCTTCGGGTGTCTCAGCACAGTTCCCTCTAAATACGCGCACAGACACCCTATGCAACCTGCTTAAGACCACCTCTCAGATGCTTCGACCGGAAATAAATTCAGCGCCAGCCAGACTTTTGAGATGTCACTGGACGGTTACCGGTCTCACGCACAGGAAGCACGTCCAGTAATTATTTATTAAGATACCTAATACTTATTCACTGTTTAGCCAGGGGTATTTTGCTTCCATTCTGAGGTGGTACACGAAAGCTCCCAAAGGTTATTGCTTGTGTACCTATCCCTCCACCCACCTACATGACTGTACAGCTCACCGCCACCCACTAGATCACGAGGCCCATCTTTTTTCCTACACGCACAAATCACGCAACGCAATCGTGACTCACTTAACTACAAAGTTCACAGTCACTCACTAGATCACGGAACTCGTCTTTTTCCCACACTTACAAATCACGACACACAAGGGTGACCCATCTGACATCGACGGACTGCCGACCAATAAGGTAGCAACAAGTCATGAACATACTCCCACACACACAAAACGTTCCTACATATAGGATAACAGCACAGCAACACAATGCAAGTCAACACAGCTACGCACGTAACTCATTCGGAACGGAGCCACTCAGGACTTAGCGTTTCACTCGCGGATAGTCAGGGAATACGTGTGGCTGCTACAAAAGCGAAGAAGACACGAAACCTGCATCCGGACTTACAACAAGATTTACCAACCTGAATCTGCAATACGATAAGTCCCCTTGTTCGCATATACACCTATTGTAATAATTTTTACTCAACACGCTGATATTCTTAGTGCTCTACGTTTTCTCGTTCATAAAACTAGTTTTCGGGTTCCGTTAGAGCATTAACAAAAGCGCTCAGTTGTAGCACCCTTCCGGTGCCTAGCTGCCATGCCACCTGAAGGAAGCACGAGGGCTGGGATACTGCCAGGTCGCCCAAGCCTAGACAGGGGAAGTCGAGTGGAAGCGGTCGCGTTCGAACCACGGTCAGTAAATTCGCGCTCTAATCACCATAGCCATCTCCATCCACCCATGATATATATAGTATATATAGTGTATATATATAGTATATAGTAGTATATGTAGTAGAATAAATGGCCGACGGAAGTTATCTTACCAGCAGCTTTGGTTGCAGCGATAACATTCTCTTCGCTGGCCGAACGTGGTCGACGAAATTGGCGCCCGAACACCCTGGAAGAAAAAAAAACGAAGGAAAATGAGAACCCTGTGGAACTTCCCGACTTCCAACCAGGAAAAAGCAATGCAATCGCCGGAGCGGAGGTTAGCAGATGATCACAGTGTGCGCACACAGAGTGAGCAAAAGCATCTCACCTATGTTGAACAATGCGCGGGCTGGGTGGCCTAAAAGACACGAGAAGGATGATGTTCCATGGTTAAATGGGGCAAGGCTTCTTCCCTATTCCCACAGATAAATTAACAAGGGTAGACATTCAGATCAATCCTGACAAGACCTGAAATATCAGTTCACATATCGTTCAAAGGGGAATTTTTGAAAACAGATCGAAGAAGGTCTACTCTATTACGGAACTCTTGATGGTCCAGATTCGAAAAAAGGTTTTACGAGCAGTTCAAGTATAGTTCAACAAAGGTGTCGGGAAAATGTTGGTCCTACACATGGAATTGAAACAAGAGGATGTGTGGTCGTACTACTTTTGCGTGTCGGTTACCAGTAGTTTGGCTGCTAATAGTGGTATGATAAGATCTAATTGTCCAGCCGTAACGTTTTTTCGGTGTGTTAGGAGGACTGTCTCCTAACAAACGTGCTCACATTGTTGACTATAACCTATGTTTCAATGTTCAACATTTCTCTCTCCCTCTCTCTATTTCAGCCTTTCACTGGACTGCTTTGTTCCATTCCATTCTTGATACTTTGGAATCTCAATATTGGTTGTTCAGTTGCTGCAGTACAATTTCCTCAAGGCTATTTGTCTTCCATGTGTAACTGACAAGGTTGATTGACTGATCAGTAGAGGACATAACACTGGTGACGAACCCAACAATGTCAATTTCAGATGAGGATTTGAAATCAATCCTTCAACAACAACAAAAACAAGCACGAGTTGAACGATCGCAGTTGCGACTTATCCAGTCTCTCTTTCAAGTCATTAATCTCCAAACTTCGGTTTCATCTCTAGGTGGTAGTTCACTATCCTTTGCGGATCCCATTGCTGCAACTATAACTGAATTTCACTATGAGCCAGCATCTGGTCTCACCTTTGATACAGCCGTTTGGAGGATACGTTTTTGAATGAGTTCAAGAACGTCTCTTGGTACGGAAACTTGGAACCCTCGAACACGACCGGTACACTGACTTTATCCTTCCACAACACCCAAAAGATCTGACTTTCGGACAGACGGTGGAACAACTTCGCGGACATAACACGGTGCCTAGCCGCCATGTCGCCCGAAGGAAGCACACGAGCTGGGGTAGTGGCGGGCTGTTCAAGTCCAGACTGGAGCAGTCGCGATGCGGACCTCTCGGCCACCGCTGAATACAGACTAATACGCGACTTAGATCACGAACTACGTGCACAGCGCGTGATTCAGACTATGTCTCTGTTTGTGAGTGGATTTGTTGTGGTCATGTCACTTTCAGACATCTTTCTAGCTAATACTGTAGTGCTGAGGAAAACTCTGATTCCCACAATACTTGTACAGCTATACCGCAGTTATGGAATACCTTTCAGGTGCATTCATCGTCACCCTTATCAGCTGTAAGAACGGCGCATTAGTTGTACAGCGGTTGTAGCCGCCCATTGGCATAAAAAAACAACGATATGAAGAATACTGGAGAAAACGTCTGGTCAGAGTTAGATTTCTGTGCTATTCACGCATAGCAAACTACCCGCCAGTTTGTAGCCCTCTTTTTCGACCTCGATTCTATGGTCCGTCAGCCAGAAAAACGATAAAATCATACACCTAGTGAAGCATTGTTTTGGCACGCTCGTACACGAACATTGCGCTGTGTGAGTTATGCAGCCGAATATCATAGCCAAATGACCTTAGGCCACGGACTGTGTGCAGCATAGCACATCCATCGTTCGCCGCAACGATCATGGTCATTAGGAAGCACTCAGAACTGAGTAACAGTACTTTTTTTCGCAGCTAATGTCTGCGCGCATCGTGCGACAGTTCGACACTAAAGACCGGCAGACAGAGAGGCGATGATGATGGAGAGCTGTTCCCTATTGATTCAACATATGCCGGGAATACGACGGTGAAGCACGTGTGTTTATTGCTAGTGATGTGTTGACCACGATGATGAAGGCAATTTAGGCAGTACTCAAAGTGACCTCGATTTTTCGTTTCCTGAGGCCTTTCATAAGGCTTTCTACAACCAAGTCTTCTGCGCAAGGCAACGAACGATAGTTCTATGGTGATCGGGTCTCATTTTAACTTTTTAGAATCCCAAGTTCGCTATTGACCCCTAGTGCCATTCATCAGTTCAGCTGACAAACGCGAGTCAGCAAGCAGCACTGCTTGACGCCTGAAGTTACGGATTTTTCAACTTGTGCAGAACAGCTCACCGTTTTTCCATGAGGAGCACATGAGGTGCTCACGAAGCCAACTAACACAAAGGTGTACCGATGACACAGTGTACAAAACTCTTTTACTTGGGAAAATGCCTTTAAACATGCCCCAGGTGGTTGACAACACGAATTGAACTACCAGAAATCGGACTATCGCAGTTGTTGCAAGTTGATACCAATTGGAAGCGGATGTACGAAGTTATTAAATGGGAATCCTACGTACAAACGGTACGCACAGAGAGATGTTTATGAGGGTGGGTCTGAACGATCGACTTCCCGCCTGCTAGGCGAGTCACGGAGGACGCCATTCATGATGCATCTGGACTTCACACGCGAATGGTCACGCATCCTCCACATTATGAAGGCTGTCAGCAGAATAGCGAATCACGTGCGTGACCTCCGGGAGGGGCAGATAATTAGGCCATCCACACACTCAAACGAGGAGGAATCGATAGATTTGTAAATGAGGAGTCTTCGCATACAAAATGAAAGGACACGCCTGGAATTGGTATTTTTTACCAACCACCCCTATCTTGTTGACGTTGTCACGGGATAGTTTGGTGACTACTGTTACAAGATACAGCGGTGGAACGAACAAAACATTGTCTAAGGACCATTAGGAGAACGTGTGCAGTAGTTGCCAAAATACGGACCACACGTGGGACGAGGTCAAAGTATTCCTCATGAAGACAGACCCCAAGTAGGGGAGGGAGATCAACAAAAGTCCTAGTTTTACGTAAACGAGGCTGATTCCTTGGGTAAAAGAGTGAATTCGTTAGATCTGCCGCATTTGTGCTTACGCTTCAAACTATCCCGCTTCCATCTGAGCTTCGTTGACAAATAATAGCGATCGTTCAGTTTTAACACCCTTCTGGTGCCACCTGAAGGAAGCACGAAGGCTGGGATACTCCCAGGTTGTTCAAGCCTAGACACGGGAAGTCAAGAGGCGGAGGTCGGGTTCGAATCTCAGCGCTTCGCGAATTCGCGCTCTAGCTACTGAGCCATCTCACCCCCTGGTTTCTTTGAAATACAATAATAAAATAAATATGGTCGTTCAGCTGTAACACCCCTCCGGTGCCTAGCTGCCATGCCACCTGAAGGAATTACGAGGGCTGGGATACTTTCAGGTTGTTCAATCCTAGACAGGGGAAGTCGAAAGACAGGTCGGGACCTGGGCGCTTCGCGCTCTAGCCACCGAGCTATCTCCCCCCCCCCCCAGGTTTCTTTGAAATACAATCCTCCAACAATGTGCCATAAACATTTGATGCTACTAAGAACCAAAACGTTCTGCTTTTTTCCGAAATCTCTCTCGACTTGGGGTTACAACGCCCGTTTTTGGCACTTACTCTCTTGCGGTCTTTTTGAGTTGTTTGATTGGTCGCGTTAGAGGTAACGCCCACCATTTACCAAAGTAGACATGTCAATCATCTATCATACCCGACCTATTCGAACGTAACTGGACAGCGAAAATATTGGCCTTCATCGGGTTACATTGCGGTCTACATTGCTAGCTTGAATGATTGACAAGTGAACATCAATCCGCGTTTGGACCACGTCACAGTGCATTCGAGTAGGGGTTGCCTGTAATCAACCTTTACGGAATGCCCAACGTGCCCCTTTGATCATTCGGGCCTGCTAAAGATAAATGCGGTTTCCTGCCACGATCGACTCTTTAGTAAACTGCTACATGGGGGCGAGATGGACAAGTAGTTGGAGCACGAATTTAGTGACCGGAAGGACCTCTGGCATTTGACTTCCCCTGTCTAGGCTTGGGCAACCTGGCAATATCCCAGCATTCATACTTCCCTCGTGCGGCATGGCAGCTAGGCACCGGAAGGGTGCTACAGCTGAATGAAAGTGCTACATAAACGATTTGGGAACGTGCGAAAGCCGGATAGAGTAATCTAAACTCATCGACTCACAATTGGTCCATTTTTGAATTTTCAATGACGATTTCGTCCTCTAAATTAGGCAAATGTGTGCTAATAAGCCAGAAACCACTGTCGCCGATAGTGCACATCTATACAAACTCCAAGACGATTGAAACCCACGACTTTCAGACTAGCAGTTGTGGACTAAGCGTTCGGCCAGAAGCAGCTGATAAGTAGTATGTTGAACACGAACCTAGACAGGATAAAGCACCACCCATCCTTCAATCGCAGAGTCAACATTAGGTGGTCAAGTGGCGGTTGACTGCATTGGTTTGAGCACGCTCCAAGGAACCGACGAAGCAAGTGCTTTCAGTTTCTTCATGCGAACAACATCGCTCAACACGGTCGTAGCTGATGTCTACTATATCTAGAGCGAGCATCAAGCGGCTAAGGATTGGAATCACATATGTACCGACTTCAGTGGAGATCGCTGTGGTTTGGATGTCTCGATCGCAGACAAGAGTAGAATCGGTTTAACTGCAAATCAGAAACAGAGGGCGCAAAGCAAGTAACTCGTGGGTAAGCAGCACACTTGGTGGCACTCGATGAAAGAGTTCTTCAAGGGCAGGTCAAGGCAGTTCTGCAAAACGTGCGTGTTTCGTTTTACAGTTACGTAGCATAAGGTTATCGGAACCCACAACAATGGTTCAAATATCTTCGACGAGAAACCGGTGCTTGCAGAACCTGTGGAAGTTGTGTGATTCAGCCATCTGGAAACTTCTAGCAGGGACAGCCTTCAGATGTCAAACAGGTTTGCGTGTTCACTGTTGAGAGATAAACTTCGGTTTCATCACAGTTGATGTCCTGAGGAGCTCACTGTAATGGGTGCTTTCTAAGCGATGATCACCACGGAAGAGAGCATTACAGACGCCCTTCAGCGCTAATCGTTGATGAAATGATGGTTGTGCTATTCTATTCGAAAATGTCCTCCAGAGGAGACTACCCCTAGGGAAGGGGATAATTAGTAGACCACTCCACGATTAACTTACACACTGAAGCCTCACCATCCTACGGCTCAGCGATTCCATCCTGATTGCAGAAAGGTCGACCAACCCAGCGTAGTAAAGGACATTCAGTTTCAGGGGAAGCTCTACACCTGTCGAAAGCACAGTTCGAAACGGGGAACTCGAAATTGGTCGATTTGTTATCGGAGAAGAGTGATAAGAGGTGTTGAGAGCGTCAAAGGTGAGTCAGAACCAAGGAAATACTTGGGGATAACCACAGCACGATACCGTGCACTAGGGACAAACAAAACGCCGCAGACAAGTTATGCGCAAGAAATCTATTTACTGTGAACTAGTCTCAACGACTGATTGAATAGAAATAACCCGTGTCAGGTAACAAAAGGCCAAGAAAAATGTGCAACTGTCTGGGTGATCACCTAAATCGGAAACGTACTCGAGGCCATGTCGAACAGTGTGAAATACACTGCCACCAGCTCCAGAAGTTTCCGGTTTATGCTCACTGAGCGGGAGCGATACACGCAGCGGCTTCGAACCGGCCTCCACCGCTGAATCGTCCGCGTAGCTGATGGAGAACAATTCCGGAGAGGTTGGGTGGGAAGAGAACGGCTGCACAGTACGGGGGGCGGGTAGACAAACGTTACTCGCCGGAACAAAATGGGGCCTGTCTGGATTGGTCTGGGGATCCAGCGATGGCTTGCCATAGTGGGATAGGGAGGCCAATGAGCCTGTCGGCTTCAATCTGGCTGCCGCGCTCAACAGGGGACTTGGTCGAAATAGTGGGGCTAGAGGATCAGGGTCTGATATCCGCCGTCCTGATGGCAATTCCTGGGAGTAAGTGCGCTCTGATGGTAATGTTTGGGCATGGCGTCGAGCTTCACTCAGATCGGGCGTCCGACTAGATGTGGTTGGGAGAGCGGGTAAGGTGTGAGAAGGACGTTCTCTAGTCGGAGGATTCAGTTGAGATTCAGTTGGTTCGTTGCCTTCACGGGCTGAAACGAAGAACGTTCCAAATGAAAGACCATGTATGACTGTGAACATCACATTAAAAGGAGAGTAAACATGACAAAAGTCTACCTGATGGGCTTCTTGGACTGGGTGGGAACCCCGGTGCAGCTCCCTTTCCTCTTCGTTTCAGCAGTTCGCGTACATAACTTTTGGGGGACACGTCTCTCGGAATACCATGCGCTTCCAAAGTTTGAACCACGAACTGTGTGGCTTGGAGTTGGTCATTCAACGTTTTCGCATGCTGCTTCAAAATTTTAGACCTATCTTCGAAGACACGCTTGATTTCGCCCTCAGAGGTGGACGAATCCCCGGGACTGATTGTGATCCCAGTCATTTGTTCGAACAGCCAGTCGTTTAGCTCTGATGAGAAAAACCAATGAGATATGTCATTAGCTCACTGCTGCACAGACAAACAAACAAAATGCTGTGAAACTGTAATTTACAAAATCATCAGAATAATGATTGGACTCACCTGTCACATCAAAATAGAACCGATAGACCCCTGAGTTAGCTGAGGTTTGCGCTGAACCACGTCTACGGTTGAATGTCCTTCATCCAAAGTAAACCCAAGAGGATTAGAAGGGAACTGGACAAGAGAGAGCCACGAGCAAGCCAAGCCCACTAATGATAGGTAGTTGTCAACTAATCAGCTCGGGATAGTCCAGTAATTAATGCGGGTTCGAACGCATCCTCGGCATTTCGACTGCTCTTGGGCAACCTATCAGTACCTTAGTCCCCGAACTTCCAAGAATGGCAGCTGTGCACCAAAAGGGTATTACAACTGAGCGATTACTGTTTATCATTGTGTCAAGGTACTTGTATCATAACCTCAGACGCACGCAATCAATCAATTCCATTTCCGCTTGCATCCGAACGAATCAGATGATGAAGATGATTACCGAAGACGTCACCAACGTTGTAAAAAGTGTTACGAGGGCAGCACACCAGTATCTTGTGCACACGCGCCAACTGCAGTGAGAACCGTGCGAATCAACATATCTGTTACAGTTAGTTACACGTGAACAGACGTCAATTGTTTACCGGACACCAACGACGCCAGTCATGTTCAATTTCATCACCGTCTGTGTGCGATCAGATAAAACGTATCATTATCAAATAGCTCAACCCTTCCGACTTAAGGTTCGTGACTTCAGGTGTGAGACATCATGTGCTATAGCCAGGCTATTTGGATTGGCAAACACAAAGGATGTTCAGCTGTAGCACCCTTCAAATGCCCAACTGCCATGCCATGCGAAGAGGGTGGCACGAGGACTGGGATACTGCCAGGTTGCCGAAGCCTAGATAGGGGAAGTCGAGAAGTAGAGGTCGGGTTCGAACCATGGACCTTCCAGTTAGTAAGTTCGCGCTCTAGTCACCTGAGACATCTCGCCCCTGAATTATAGCCGTTCAAAAACAAATCAGGACGCGACAAGTGATGATCAGTCTGTTGTTAAACCCACTACAGTATTTGTTCGATCTGTTTTCGCCTGTCTTTTCCAAGGAACGATTTTTCCTTTGTCGAGAAGGTCAAAACTGTGCGCTTTGACATAGCGGGTGAGACTGATAGAAAGATGTGACGTACAGCTCAACGTAAAGAACACATATCGTGTGAAAAATACCTTTTCTCAGAGCTAGAGGACGATGACCAGGCAATGGTCTCCGTAACTTGAAAAACACGGGCAATTCTGTAGACTAAATATCAAAGCAGAGTTCGTCCACTGAAATTTAGTTGGAAAATCCATTCGTAACCTGAAAGTGCGACTAGAAAACAGTTGCCTCGCCGTTTTTGGATTCGTTTCCAATTTTATCTCTAATTTGAAAAAAAACAATCCGAAATTTAGAACAAATTGGGCGCTTTCAAACGATGTTCGCAATAGAGAGGGAGTAGCCCGAATGATTGTCACGAGGTGGAGAACCAACCGAGCTGGACCATCAACGATGCATCCACTTCCTAGAAATGACTTTGTGACCAGCAAAGCTGATCAATGGCTGATATTAGCTACTCCTATCCATGAACCTTCATGAAGACTGTAGATCACCAGGCTACCCACATCATACATTGCCGTTCCACACGAGGGAGCAAGGGCGAGATTGCTCCTTGGTTAGAACGCGAATTTACTAACCGGAAGGTTCGTGCTTCGAACCCAACCTCTGCCTCCCGCCTTGCCCTGTCTAGGCTCGGGCAACATGGCAGTATCCCAGCCCTTGTGCTTCTTTTGGGTGGCACGGCAGAATGGCACCGAAAAGATGTTACAGTTGGACGGTTATCTTATCATATTTTTACACGATTGACGATTATGGTTAGCTTCGTGACTGGCCCTCTTATTCACCTGCCCTGAACCATACTCTCCGGTTTATAACGGTTAAAGGGTGCGTCTCATCAAAGACGGCATGTGGCGATACCTATACCGCACGGGGTCCATCACTGCGATTCGAAGTGACAGGCAAATCTAGCTTATGTGTTGAACAATGTACTTGTGACTGTGTTGTTATTGAACAATCTCATCTGACAATGTCATCCGTCCGATGCCATTTTATCCAAAATGTTACCACAGATTCAGAAAAATGTCTCCACTGCCGCCAGATGCAAAAATGGGCTACACACGAAAAGGCGTTGGCGACAGGTCCGATGCCATTTTATCCAAAATGTTACCATAGATTCGGCAAAATGTCTGCACAGCCGCCAGATGCAAAAATGGGCTACACAGGAAAAGGCGCTGGCGACAAACAGGGACGAACAGACAGTGCTTAGTTAGGTAAATCATGAAGGTCAGATGTTCGGCTTCGAGACTCCCCAAGTAAATAATACTGGATAAATAAGTCTGATGAGAGTAATGACACAGACTGATGGTAATTTTTAACCTCGATCACACAGCAGTACAGGAAACAAGTCAGCCAGATTTGTTTGATAACCTGTCTGCATGAGGAGCCTGACAAGTGAGGATACCCAGCACGAGTTGACGCCTTGCGGTCGTGGTGTATATTGAGTCACGCACTCCAAGGGATGTGTGTTCTTCCGACGTGGGGGTCTTCACAATTGCAAATGAACTGGCAGATTACACAGCCAGATAATCCTGAAGCACTAGGCTTACAAAAATTTTCTTTATAGCACATATACACTCATTTGCAAACTAATTTGGTTTTCCGGGAGACTCATCTGGAACCCAGCTGAACCGATCGTTTGTGATGTTTCAAAATTAGTTTGCAAATGACTGTATATTCCCTAATTTCGGGCAATTTGGTTTCAAGTAGAACATAAGGTTGACGGAAACCTGGGGACTGTGCCTACCTGATGAGCCCCAAAAAGGTCGTGGGCTGTCGACGGATTTTCAGCAACCTTATGAGTAGTACACTAAAAATTTTCTTTATAGCTTGAACTACGGGCAGCTGCACACCACTTCAATCTGTTTAGAAGACTGGTTTAGTTTATACCTAATGTTTGCCTATGAACGGGAGCGGCCTATCAGACTGTTGTGGACTTTGAGGTCTAATGGCATGGAGAATGTCGATTGATCACTCCGGAAAGTCAACAAACTATTCTACAATAATCCTTCTTTCAACCTACATGAAGTGCAAAGTCACCTTTCTGGAGCTTGACACTGCTGAATTTGCAAAAAATCGATGCAGCAAAGTTGGAGTGTGAACGTTGGTGATTCCACGTTTAAGTTTCGAAAGACGATGTTATAGTGTACCATCAGCGTATCCATTGAAAGGAAACTCTGAAAAAGACATCTCCCTTCAGTTTAATCAACCCAATTTATCAGCACACTGGTTCCAGCTGCTGCAGTTTCAATCGCCGGGAAGTGGGAGAGTGTAGGACATACAACCAAGCCTTGGAGATGATGGCGTGTTCAGTTCGTTCGGGAAATGGGTAGCTACGCTTCGAAGGCGATAGCTTTGATGCACGAGCGCCACTGGCTGTGCGATTCGGCCATTTCTGTCAGTGTCACTAGCCATTGGTGAGTTGAGTTCCGGGGTCCCCATCCAGGAAGGTGGCAGTTGTCAATCCGACTAAGTTTACTGTTTAGTGTTTTCATACTTCGTTGTCAGATCATACACTGTCCATATCTTGATCGCTTCCACTCAGAACACGGCTGGGTAAAAAGGCACTGCGAGACAGGCGGTCTTCCGGCATGTGGAGTACATGTCCTCACCAGCGCAACCTATGAAGCGTTAGTTATTCATCTATCGCGGGAGAGTTCCTTCTTCCCAAGAACATCTGGCGTACCTCAGCATTGCTAATCCGATGTTCCCAAGAGCAATGTTTCGGAGACACCGATGGTCAAACACTGACATCTCTCGGATGCATTCTGCGCGTAGAGGACACGGCCCTTATGCATAGAGCAATATGGACCGCACCGCCGCATTGTAAACACTGCCCCTGACAGACAGACTCACGCCACGTAGGCGCCATAGGTGTCCGAGGATGGCGAAAGCTGCCCTGAACTTCCCGAATCGAGAAACAATCTCATCTTCAGCCAATCCACCTGAACCCACACATCTCCCCAGGTAAACAAATTTATCTACAACTTCGATTGGCCCGTCTGCAAGCATGAGGCGTAGCCCACCGGGTCTTGTGGCAGAACCTTACACTTTGCAGGTGTGAAGCGCATGCCAAACCGTTCGGCTGACGTATTTGGGTTAGTGAAAATGGATTGAATTGTTAAAGGATCTCCACATGATCCTCACAGAACAGGGGTTTCTTCAGAACAAGTCAGAGGACGACATAATCAGCACGAGGGTGTAGACAACTCGGTGATAGGCACCGGCCAAAGATACCATATCATTGTCTGAGTTGACCTGACTCAAACTGACCAGACGACGCAGAAACACTGCAATACCTACATGAACATCATCATCATTGTCAGCTGTACAAACCGCGTACTCGTCGTACGCTGGTTGCAGCTGCCGCAGTTTCGTTCACCGATGATTTGGGGGAGGGGGTAGGTAGCTGCGCATTGCAGGCGCGAGCTGGTAAATTGGTGCATAAATTCAGCACTGTCAGTGGGCTGTCAAGTGGGGGGGGTGGAAAAGGAGCTATGCATTGAAGGCAATAGCTTTGATGCACCAGCGCCATTGAGAGCGCGACTGGGCCATGTCTGACAATGTCTCCAGCCATTGATGTGGCCCGTCCCGGGGTCCCCATCCTGGAAGACGGCAGTGACCAGCGCAGCTGAGTTTGCTGGTTATGGCCTTCACACTTCGCTGCCAAGTCACTGTTTTACCGCCACCGACTTTCTTCCACCCTTCACGTGGTTGTGCGAAAAGAACCCTTCGAGGAAGTAGGTCGACTGGCATACGCAGCACGTGGCCAAACCAGCGCAACCTGTGCAGTGTGATCAGTTCATCTATCGAGGGTGAGTTATTTCTCCCGAATACCATTCGACGTAATTCAGAATTGCTGAACATATAACTGAATGTTCGCTCGTGTGAACTATTCATCCTTTTTAGAACCTGTCAGTAGAGGAGCCAGTCAACACGTGACTCTGTAGTGTGAATTGCGTAACAGAAGAAAGAGTAGGGTCATACCCTGTCTAAATGCGAGTTAATCACATGGTTCATCGGCCGCTCGTGGCCGAACGGTTTAGTCTCCGGAGGCCGCGCCCGGGAGGCTCGTGAGATGCCCACTGCCGATAATTTCAATAAAAATGAAGGAGTTTTAATGGGAATTCAATTACAAGACGAGACATCCACTGGAATTTCCAGCTCTCCAGATCTGGATAGTCTGACAGATTGTAAAGGATTTCTACCACAGGCAATATACGCCGCCCGACTTGCCTGTGTGTTCTGATTCTGCACGTTTACCAGAGCTACGTGAAGTAAATTCACGATCACACATCAAGAGTAGTGAGTACAGAGCCCGAGTCGCTTCCCTCTAAACCATAGATCCGATGTTCAGTAGTATCTAATCGATCAACTAGCAGTAGATCACTGCCGTATAACTAGAAATCGGTCAAACACACGTGATTTTTATATGGAAAAAAAAATTAGTTTCGTTCAATGTGCAGGCGATCTGAAGTCGACAACTAGGACGTAGAAGCATAGTGCGTGAAACGCGAATACAACCACCCCTATTTCACTTGATTTTCTCCATTCCGACTCATCATGGAAAATTCACACTCAAAACAGCTAATCTAATTATTAATCAATTTTGAATTGGTGAGCATAAAACTCCGAAGATGTCGGTTCGCGTGTCCAGAACACTCGGAAAGCCATAAAGGCAACATGAACATCGGTCCCTAGGCCCATCTATTTTGAAGCGGCTCACGTTTATACAGCTGCGTCCAGACAGCATGAAAAATAAACATCTGAGGGAGGAAAAACAAATGTGTAAATCTGCCGTCACGCGCTGAGCTACTGAGTCGAAAAACTGTTTCCCATATTGCTTTATACATAAATGTGGTATCCGGCCATGGTAGACTCTCTGCTATAGGAATAGGACCGCAAACCAGGAAAGATCCTCCAATGTGAATTCCCATGAGGCGGCACCAGAAAACTGAGCCGACTGGTGTTGTGTCGTGGATGGCCGTCTTTTGGTTCGCCTGCCAGACTACGCGATAGGGAGAAGACAGAGAACTCCGGACACGGCCGTACGGTCAGGACAAAACATACAGAGCTTCTGCGTAAATATGTACAGGGTGACTAAAAGGCTAAATATGGTCGTTCACCTGTTCGTTCCGTACAGCCAATTGTGGTGTTCCGGTCGTGAACACTTTCAGGCCCACTCCGCTGGTCGTATGTTGCTAAGCTGTATTTGGTGTACTCCGCCAACGCACCTGCCTTCCGAACGTGTCGTATCGATTATGACCTTGGGGATGCGTCATTCTCTGCACGTGCACTTTTTCCACGTCTGGGCGCGTCCTGACAAACGGACAAGCCCTACCCAAGTCACAACACTCCTGCGGCCCCCAAAAGCACTGCGACACCTAGTCTCCGCAAATGAGACACCAGATTTCGAGTACCGGCCAGGGATTCGACCAGGTAGCTGACCGCGCCTACACGTAACATGAAGCACTTGAGCAGCGCTATGCATATCACCGACGAGCAGCCAATGGAACCGTCTCCCTCAGCGATTGTTTCTTCCACATTGAATCACCATTTAATTGCCCCCAGTGTTCAATCCGCAGCCGGTCAGCTAACCTTGTTCTGTCGTTGTACGCCGGACTTCATTGGACAAAGTCCGTGAATGATGGCGGGTCAAGCCCATAGATGGCATCCAACTCCAAAAGTTCAAAGGCCTAAGCGCATTGCTCCTGTGTTCAGTGTTCATGCTCCGCCCACTATGGTATATCAAAAGGCACGGTAGCTCTACACAGCCCTTTATGGAGACAAAAGAAAATTAGTACAACTGTATTTATAGGGTAGTCACAGAGTGTTCCACAAGATCGTGCCAGAATCTCCGTGAGGCAGCGCGAAGCGTCGAGCTAAAGATGATCGATACAGCTTAGCTTGCATTCTGACCAATCAGGACCGTAGCCCGCACGTCACACCTCTATCCAATTGACGTGCTGTTCGGTTATTAGGGAATTCTTCGCTTTTGAATGTACGATGGTTATGCACCAGTATCTGCAGGGGCAAGATGGCTCATTGCTTAGAGCGCGGATTTAGTGACCGGAAGGTCTGTGGTTCGAACCCGACCTTTGCCTGTAGGCTTGGGTAACCTAGCAGTATCCCTACCCTCGTGCTTCCTTCGGGTGGCAACTTCCAACTAAGCATCGAAAGCGTGCCAAAACTGAGTGATTTTTGAACCAGTACCTGCAGCTGGCGGAGCACAATCCGCAATGTGGCGGTCGTCCAAACTGTGTTTTCATCACATTTGTTTCGTACAATTGTGATCGCCTACTTACTTGACCCTGTTAGCCATGTGCAATCTCCCTGAGTTTCGAATGCGGAACGCCCCCCGATCGCTTGTTGGACCCAGTGCATATGGCCCTAATAACTTCCGCTTCGTAATAGTGAAAAATGTTCACGGTTAATCCTTGGTTTTCTGTAAACCCCACAAAAAGAGATTTCTCGGGAAATGGATAACCCAATTTTTTTTCCGTCAGAACAATTTCGCTCTAACGCACAGGTTGCCTACCTATTCTCAAACTCTACAGACGAATGTGAGTGGTAGCATTCCATGATAAAAAAACGATTTGTTTGAGTTGGTTTCGTTGAATCGACGAATAAACCAAAACCACAGTCATTTTAAAAGCACACGCTCCTGACGAGCGTAAACTTTCAATCAAACAGATCGACATGAATAAAATTTTAAAAACTGGGTTGCTTTAAGCAGAGAAAAAGTTACATTAAATACAGAGGGATGAAAAAATGTATTCAACATTTCCGAATACAAGGAATTATGCGTTAATTGAGTTGGATAGTGAAACACCACGTATTAGAGGATGAATGCGATCGGTGTTAGTCACAGATCGAACTTCACTTCACTTCTGAATCCCATCCATCGTCAGTTTTTATTTTGTCCTTTCAGGTGCTGAGAACTACTGAAACCACAGGTTCATGTTTTTATAATGAATTAATAATGATAATCGCTCACTTGTGACACCCTTTCGATGCATAATTGCCATGCCCTCACTCCTGAGGGAAGCATGAAGGTCGAGATTTCGAGATTGGTATCGAAGCACAGACCTTCTGGTCGGAAAGTTCGTGCCTTAACCCCTCATCATCATCATCATCATCATCGACAACATGGCGTCAGTGTTCAACACCGATGCATCATTGCCGTACAATGTCATGGCTGTACGATGAGTGGAATACTGACAGGGCGCCCACACCTAGACAGGAGGACGATTAGGGTCCTCAACCAAAGCCTTTGGCTCAAAGGCCTAACCGCACAGCAGTGGTGTTCGACTGGAAATGCAAGTACATTACCATTTTTACGGAACACGTCGCCATACATGTTCCAACTCCAAACCTGGAGGGCTAGGACACTGTGTTCGTCAGACCTCTAACCATTGACCAACCTGGTATGAGAGACTCTGTGAGCGTCACGGGGACACTCTCCAGTGTAGCCCAGTGGATCGCTGAGGTACGCGAACCGTCACACCACGGTAAGGTCCAGTCTCTCGGTGACAGTCTTAACCCCTAGGCTAGTTCGAGCTTGCTACGTGTTTTTGGCGGTGACACACTAGCGTTCCATTATTAGCACAACTGACGGTTTCAGAGCAAGCTGGTTGTCCCTTTCAATTGGAAGTGACAACTTTAAGCAAAGATAGACTGCCAGGACGGATTGTGAGAGTTTGTTGTGTAGGGCCCTAATGGTTAGAAAGTAAGCTGATCAATGACCACGAAATAAGCTGATTTGAACTGTTCTCCTCAAGTCGAACGTACTAAAGCGTATTACCGTCAAGCGAAACTGTAAACTTTTAGGAATGTTGGATGGTATATTTAAGGCAGACTTGCTCGATAGATTTATGGTGTTCCAGTGTACAGACTCGACGCCATCGGTGGGTGTGTACGAAGTGGCAGCAGCAACAATCAGTGCATGCCGATTACGTAGTCCCGCAGACAATAAAACACCGCCATTTCTTGTTAGACAGACTCCGAACTCTCTGGCTCTCAGGGGGGATCCACTTTGATAGGTCACTTATACCAAGGGTGTAACTCATCACCACGATCCAGAACACTACAACTGTGACGTTAGAGAAGTACACGATGAAATCTTCAGCACTGCACATATTGAATGCAGTTCACTGACAACTATCTATTGTGTTTCTCGTAGCCTGGGCAGGCATCGCGATGGCTTCCAACTTCTGCGCATACTTGTTGAAGTTTCAGAGCTACATACTAAAGTTACGCTAGAGAAACGGAATTGCCACACGCATTAGTGACTGAATGTATGCAAAGTGACGCCAAACCTCTCCATGATAGCTCAGTGTTTGCAGTGCGAATTTGCTGACTTAGAGGTCCGTATTTCGAACCCGACCTCTGCATCTTGACTTCCACTGTCTAGTCTTGGGCAGTATCCCAGTCCTCATGGCATGTCAGTTAACGGTGCTACGGCTGAACGATTCTCTTACTCGACAAAATATGTAGGATTGTTGATGGAGAAGTTCACGTTAAGAATGTTTTAGTTTAGTTGAGACGGCTGTCTGATCAGGATCTCTATCCACAAAACCTTCAACGTAGTACATAGTATAGTATAGTATAGTGTAGTATAGTATAGTATCAATAAGGTAAACCGATTGGAAACTCACCTTTTCGGGCGCTTTCATTCGAACGAATCGAGGTCTCCAGATGTTTCACATACTGTCGAAGCTCTTCCAGCTTCAACAGTGTCAAAGTTTCATCCACTGCAGACTCTTGTTGGTCTGTTGTGGTCACTGCATCCCCTGTTTCGTCGATGGATGATGACCCATCCGGTCGACCAGATGCGGGGCTTCCCGGAGAGTTATCCACCTGTGGATGGGAGCAAACGTCTTCATGACAGGTTGACGGAAAATGGTGAGCACTGGGAGTCGAGTTGTAAGACTCCAAAAGGTACAAATCGCAGGGTGATAGTTCTTCACAAAGTGGATTTCGAAGCCAGGACCATACGCGTGTCATACGAGCCTCCATGTTGGCAGCAGACTCGACCAAAGCACAGTCATTAATGTCAGGGTCGTATTTGGTTTCATTAACGACGTCTGCAGAGTCTTCAACCCAATAAAACGTATTATTCAGTACATGTCGAAGTGGGGCATCAATGATTGTCCTGTTGACGCATGCTGTTTTATCCATGAGTAAACGTCCTTCTGGTAGAGAATGGAGCAGAGTTTGTGTATTTGACTGGACCCCGAAATAGGATGCTATATCGTTGTACAGAGTCTGTGGCACCATGCTTTTCTTTTCTAGGCACACGAACTGCAGGCAGTCGCTGAGACCAGTGACCGCCACACACTGGTGACACCAAATGAACTCACATGTGCGGCAATCGTTTTATTTGACTAACACACACGTACACAAGCGTACGATACACAACGTCCGTGTGCCTGTGTGAAAGTGTGCACCAACCAGACACATTGTAGAGACATACATACGGTAGGTGATCGCTCGAAAAAGGAAGGGGGACACACCTGTTCCAATTTGCCGTTCACACGTGTCTGGCAGCCGAAACGGACATCGAGGCCAGGCACAACAGACCAAATGTATGAGACCAATCTGGTGAGGTCTGCTGCACGGATGCTGGCTGGCTGGCCTGTCTGACTGTGCACACGAAGTCGGAGTGGGTCAACCTGCAGATAACTGCCCGAAGGCCTCTAAATACATGGGTGGAGGATCATGCCCGTATACGTGAAGATAATAGTCTGCCCTAGGACGAAACATGGTGTTCCCAGGCCCTTAGTTGGACTAACTGCGGGTGGTTCACAGTTCCCTACGACGCCCTGTCCGGAAGATTTTCGCATAGTAGTCCTGAAGGAACTGGCAGCATACACCTCGCACCCGTTGTATCATCTTCCGCAGGTCAACGGGGAAGGGGGAGGTGTGAGGTGAACAACCGGATCTAAGGACGATCCGACCAGCACCTCAGACGCCCGGGGGGAAATCAGATCAACATTTCAAAGCCAACAAGACGGCGCGTGAATAACGACATGGATTTCAGAAAAACACATTGCTTTAAACACTTTACAGCATAACTAATCGATAGTGGACAGCGTGTTAGTCGCGTTTGTTGATTGTAGTAAAGTCTCCGATTGAGTTTCTCATCAGCACTCACAAACCAAGCTTTCTACCGCGGACTTCAAAGAAACCTTTGAGTGGATTAAAGATGTTCCGACTGGAAGGAGGTAAACGTTGCTGACATCTCAGACCCCACTGGTACACAACTAGCGGGGTCCCGCACAGATCTGTCATCGATGACCTTCCGTTACAGCCCCCCGTTGAATGCCTCATGTATGCTGACTACTTGGAAATATAAGCACATTTCGTATCCGAGGATCAGACAGACACTACGGAGAATGCTGTCGCTACTTTGCACAACCGACCCACCTACAGCGGACTACCAATAAGCCACTCCATGAGTCGGGAGCAATCAAATTTCTGGAATCTACCACACTGATATAAACAATAATAATGGTGCAGCATTAACACGCTTTCGGTGCCTGGCTGTCATATCCCTCCCCCAAAGGAAGGACGAAGGCTGTCAGGTCGCTTAAGCCAAGACAAGAGTGGTTGAGATGCCGAAGTTGAGCTCGAATCACGGACCTTCCGGTCAATAAGTTCGCGCAGTGAGATAACTCGAGCTCAAACTAGTGATTACATACTGAGCGGAAAGCAAACAAAAGACCTTAGCACAATTTTACCCGTGATATTCGATTCGACTTGACTCTAACCCTGATGGTGGCGACCGCAACCCGACTACTTTGGGCTCCTCGTGGAGGGGTTGCAAAATTTGCAGCTGGAAACTTTTCGCATTCCCTGTACACCCCATTTCTGGCCGAACATGGATTAGGGGTGACTAGCTCCGGTGCTATTTACCAAGTATAAAGGCCATCTACTAGGAAAGTTACATCGAATAGGCTGGAAGTTTGGAGCACGGCTCCGCTCACTGAACTTTATAGGCCTCCGTGGTAAACCCATCCATACATCGCGTATCCCCCCTGCGAGAACGTGGCGGGGATTTGCTGAAACAAGTTGTACAAACGAAGGATACCATCGGCGCCATCCAGGAGGCTATCGCCCGAAAATATTCAAAACTAAGCCAAACTGACCACGGTAGTGGATAGGTGGAACAGCATCCCAGCAGATGCAATGGACGCAACCATAGAGGATAGAGTTAGGGTTTTTGGACAGTTTCTACTTGAGGGATCACACACACACATTTCAATGAACTCCAACTGCTACTTGAGGGATCACACACACACATTTCAATGAAATGATCTCCAACTGCTGTGCCGAACACACTGTCAAGCGCTTAGATACGATATAACTTACAGAAGCATTTAGCCCATCGTTTGATCGGTGGGCTTCCCCTCTGTAACCCTCTGTTTGAATGATCTGTTGAGACATCGCTACCAGTGATGACCGATTTTAAGACAGTCGTACACCTGCCAGGTTCTGGAAAGCCCATGTCAAAGAAGCTAGAATATACTGCAGACTCAGCTGGCACTTGTGTTAGCCTCAGACGTTAGCGAGTGCCAGGCAAAGAATAGGACTGGTTCAGTGACCAGTACACAGTCGGAAATGGCCAGCATCCCAAAAGAGCAGATCATGAGAGGTGGCCTCTCTCCGGCAGATTCACCCTTGAAAAAGTGCTATCCGTGGGTAACTAGGACGCACTGTTGGGTTGTCGGTTTGTTCGCGGAACTCGGCAGCTGGATGGCACATGTTTCATCCCCGTCCAGAGGACATCATCGGTGCGTAGCTGGATATCGTCTCAGACTCCGGACCCTTCCATATAATACGACCAACTTCGATCGCACATATGAGCAGTAATTCTCAATCATCAAATCCCAAGGAATTGAAAAAAAATAGTCCAGATGTATCGCCTTCAGGGCCAGGTCAAGCGCGAAACTGGAAAAGAGGCAAACTTACCAACATTTTCAAGGTAAACCATTGTGTTTTCAATTTTTTGTGGCATAGCAACTCGGAAGCAATGCAATAAGGCGAAGGAGGCTAGCAAGAACTTTTATCATAGCCAAACATATGCCGCGATTCTCCGCTTGATTCGCCCAACATTCCTCTCTTACTACAATTAATCGAGGCACTTAGACAAAAAAGGCAAAACACACCCACCAATCACGCGGTCCAAGTCACGTGATCTCGTGTTACCTGGTTTCTCGAGGTCCCATAAAGTTGCGGGATGTTTTCCTCTGGCAATAGCTTACTTGTGCATTGAAGCAATTTCGAAGTTCAAATTTGAAAATTACATGAAAATACAATTCACGTCCATCACATCTCGTGTTATGGGGCGCTGATATGTAAGTAGTAAACGCATTCATAGGGACTTAAGGTAACCGGAATTTTACTCAGACCGGACAGGACCTGAAACAGAACGTGGGATTTGCAGAGTAGGAACATTGGTGCCTACACTTTTCAGGTCGTATGCGTGTTACAAAAATAACTTTAGAAAGTACGAGGGCTGTTATCATCAGGCTTCATGGTCCAGAATTCGCCCTTCAGTAAATAGACAGCGCGAATCGTATGTGATATAGCGTGCCGCCACTAAATAACAGCTCAAAAGCGGTTTAACGTAGCCTTTACGGTGTCGTGGCGGCCGAAAGTGGGTTAGAAATAGGCTTATTCCAGAAATTTCGGCTTATTCGTTCACAGGTCTATCCAAAGCTGACATTTGTGTGAAAGACAGCCGGTTGTACTTTGTGCACTTGTGTCACGAGTCACAACTGCATTCTCGCTACATTCATACCAGGTTTGCAGACGCATATGTCTGAAACCCGAAAATCCATGCATAGCCGAGACAATCAGCCAAAGCACTTAAAATGTGGCAACTGTTCTCGGTTCATCGCACGCGATATCCTTGGTATCCCGTGTGTAGTGGACGATCAACGGATACAAACTGTCACATGATGTCACCTATTTGGATCTGACACAGAATGAATAGATGGTGCAAAACCTGATAGGTTAACTGTTCAGCCTGCTATACAGCTAAATATGATCTTGGCAGAGTGTTCCAGTTCGTATGCACCCGATGACGGCCTGTACATCAGCCCTTATCATTATACTGATAGTTATGCTCCCCAGTAGATCAGCTGTGCACAATGTCAGGGCGACTCCTGATAAGTAAGTAAGTAAGCTGTAACACCCTTCCGGTGCCTAGGTGCCTTACCACCCGAGGGAAGCACGAGGGCTGAGATACTGCCAGGTTGCCCAAGCCTAGACAGGGGAAATCAGGAAACAGACGTCAGGTTCGAACCCCGTCCGGTCAGTAAATTCGCGCTCCAACTACTGAGCCATCTCATTCCACGGTTTTGCCGAGACGCGTTCAACATGATACCCAAGGAATACAAAAACGCTATGGGATTTCGTATTTGTGCTCTCATCAGACGACACGTGTATGGTCGTATTGGCCAGTTACAAGTCGCATACGGGTGACAAAGTGATCCTGGTTGCCATATCGTCAGCGTCATACTTTGTTTTACTGAAGTTCACCTAATTTGAAGGCGAAGTCGGAAAATTCAGTGTTCGAAGTGTACTACTAGTCACGCGGTAGCCAAAGTAGCCATCCTCGCATTACCCACATTTGTACACCCCTGTAATTCGATTTGCTATATTGTATCGATTGTCGATTAAAGTGAAGAAACACTGTAAGCTTGGACGTCCGTTGGGCCCCTTCCAAGTCATCCGACACACTTTCTGGAACTATCACCATCTCTCCAGCTAAAACGGATGATCTCTCCATCATCATCATCTTTTTCACCTGTAAAACCGCCTATTCGTCGTACAGTTGTTCTAGCTGCCACAGTTTCGTTCGCCGATGACTTGATGGGGTGGGGTAGATAGCTACGCATCGAAAGTGTTGGGTGATATAATTAATCCGTAAACACAAAGGTGTTTCAGTGCAGTTTTCATTGAAAAGATGGGGAAGGAAGCAATGTACAGAAGGCGGAAGCTCAGATGCACGGGCACCTCCGGATGCACGACCGGGCCATGTATTCTTACTAACCGTAGTTTACATTGTGGGCAGAATCAGTTATCTATTAGCCATCTGGTTGGTTTTCATCGAGCGTCCACTGAGTCGCCCACCAGGCTTTTCAAAAAGACGAATTTCTGTTCGGTCTACTGCGGGTTGTATTTAGTAAGAGAACCCTATGACGAGTGGCCATCTTCGAGAGAAAAATCACTGTTGTCAGGTTGCCCGTCGCATCTCAATAGCCAACAAAATAATTCCCTGAAGGGGATAACAGCCATGTGAAGTAAACTCATGGGCACCTTTCTCACTGTGTGTAGTAAGGCCCGAAAGTGGTCATTTGTTGGCTATCTGAACAACTGAACGATTGCTTCACAAACAAAGAGGTGGCAAGCGAAAAGATACGGAACCACCTGACAGCTTTGCTTAGGTTAGGCAGCTAACTAGAGACATCTATTCGTTGAGTCGTCGAAATAAACAAGTTAACTGGCTTTTCAACAATGATCAGAGAAGAGGAATTATCACAGATAATCAATGCCGTCATTGAGCTCTAGATAGTTCACTGGTTGAGGTGGGAACTAACCGACCGTAAGCTCCGTGGTTCGAATCCGACCTTAGCATCTCGATTGCTCCTGTCTAGGCTTGGGCAAACTAACAGCCATCGTGCTTCCTTCTAATGATAGATAGGCCCCAAAAGGAGGTTGCACCCGGAAGAATACTACTACTATTGTTGTTATTAGTAGTAGTGATAGTAATCATTCTACTATTAATCGATCAACGGATCGAATAGACCTAACTAGTTGTCAGTTTCTATCCAGATTGCCTGAGTGAATGTCTGGAGGTGTAGGCACCTCGGAATGATTGTGTTAAGCTAGCACTAAGTCCCTCCCCCATCCACCTTTATTCTTTTCTTTATAATAAGGCTTTCAAATAGTCATGGTTGTACGGCAGTGAAGCATCGGTGTTGAACACTGATGTCATGCTGTCGATGATGATGAACCCACAAACTGTCTGCCGCTTAAACGGGTCAATACGGGTCATGTAAGCAGAGCCAACAGGTGAACCAATTTCCAACGAGACCGTCAGGGAGAAAGCCACACACGGCTTGATAGGTCGAAAAAAAAAGTTACGCTTAGGATGAACAGCTTCATAGTTTAGAACCGGAGCAATCATACGATTGCGAGTTATTCGCTCTTGCAAATCGATAGTATGATCTGTGTGCGCTACTTTCAATATCAACCTGGCAGTTCGCACTCGACCTTGACTACAATCAATTGAACCACCATAGATTCAGCGTTAATACCTACGCTTCACCAATGAAACGACAAGCAACTGGTGAGGCCATTGCACAGAACGGTCGAAATTCACTAGTTGTATCATCGCATACCGAAACAACAAAATACGTTCTCCTGATTGTTTAGCCTGAGCTTACCTTGGCTGACATGCAGGAGAAATGCGAGCATGTTAGCTTGTGCTTTGTCTACTACAAGGCTGTCACATTTCGTTCGGTTGGGGAGAATACTTGTGAAGAAACTGAAGGCGGTGGGGTAATCAGAGAACCATCAGCAATGATCCAGGACGCAAGCCTCCGAAAGAGAGGGCAACCCCTAACAAAAATTGAACTATACACTGTCCATACAATGGTCGCTTTTGAGGGAGTTGATATATAACAAAACCCGTCTCCGCCAGCTTGCCACGTTACAACGAGCATTCTTTCCTGAGTAATCGATTTCGACTGGTTTGCTCAGGTTCACTTACAAAGACTAAAGGAATTTCCCCTCTCATCACCATCATCATTGTCAGCTGTAATAACCGCGTACGTGTCGTACAGTGGTTGTAGCTGACAGTTTTGTTCACTGATGATTCGGGGAGGTGGAGTAGGTAGGTAGGTGTCAAACCGAAATTAAGGGAACAGCTCGCAATTCCCTTTGTGAATTGTATTGTTCAGAGAAGCAATTTTCACACTGTACAGGTTATTTTTCCATACGCAGTAGGTGTAGAGTAGAGAGCCCTGATCAGCTTGTTGAACACGACTGTGTTTCCCGCCTTATCAAAAATGAAAACTTTGTCTACGTATTCCAGATCGATGTACACTTCGTCTGAAACTAGGAGAATATTTCCTTAGTCACCACACCGCGTTCAAATCACGTCCGATGAACGGCCATGACTGATTCGAAAGAAAAGTTTTGTTAGTGTTAGCGCTCATAAGTAGTGTATGTACTCAAACACATCGTAGTTTCAACGTCTGTCCTCTGCGGAGAATGATTTCCTAACGAAACACGCCACACAAGATTGCTGAAAACTCTTCGACAACCCATGGCCGGTTTCGCGCGGACTGACTAGAATTGATGTCTTCAAAAATTTCGATTTAATGATATCCAATAACCACAAAAAATGCGAGGCGAGGCATCCCTTCGGTAAACATTCAATGAGTCGATTGGGTCTGACAGAAAATCAATCAAGTCGAGTAACTGCCATATCAGATGACCGCTGGAAGTCACCCGATTCGAGCCTAGATGGGAACCAGGTTCGTTCAGGACAGTTGTTCACGTGATGGTAATAAAAAATCACAGATGATACGTGATCCGATGAGCTGAGAAGGATTTTGTGCTGAGTGGGTGAGAGTCTACGCACGATTGTGCTTGACCGACGGTCAGACGAGCTGCATTCATCCAACCGGTAAGTTACACAAAAATATCGATCTGAAAAGTCTATAAACAAACCCATACATCATGCAACAAGCATGGATGCATTGTGGCCTGAGAAAGGTCCACTGGAACGTCGAGCTACCTACGGAGACCACACATGAAAGCTCCTGAAATTCACAAGCTCCAGTTTTTCATATCGAATCAACATATCGAATAAACATTAGTTTCGTATCAACGATGAAGTCGGACCTGTTCGCATGCCTGGCGCAGAGCCACATACTCTCCTCACACAAATCTACCGTTTCTTTAACCTCACAGTTACGTTAGCGCTCTCGAGGAGTGAGTATCGGATTCATGATAAAATCCCGCGGTCTTCCAATTGAGTAACCTCATAGGTTCAGCTGTAGCACCCTTTCGGTGCCTAACTGCCATGCCACTCGAAGGTTGCACGAGGACTGAGATACTGCCAGGTTGCCTAAGCCGTAGCCAGAGGAAGTCGAAAGCCAGAGGTCGGGTTCGAACCACGGACCTTCTGGTCAGCAAATTCGCATTCTACCCACTTTGACCATCTCGCCCCAACGTCATACGGCCTCTGTGCACATTGGAACCGCTTAAGTCGTGTTTCTTTAAAAGGATAATCCTTCTAAAATGGTCAAGTTCGTGTGTTCCACCGGGTCCACTCGTTGACCTATATGGATCCACATAGTGCGCGATAGTGAAAACTACATACAGCATGACTTCCTTCCGACGTACAGAAAACCATAAGCAACATGTCATACAGCGTGTCAAGGAGAGGGGCAATAAAAGTGCACGTAAAGCATAAATCATCTAGTTAATAGATCAAGCCTTGACTTCTGAGATGACCGTTCAGCTGTAACACGCTCTCGGTGTGTTAGGTGGAACCCCACACGGATCCCTTTTTACCGCTCGCACTCAGTTGCTGCTACGGCCGCACGCAAGATTGGCCAAGAATTCGGGACGCTTGGCGGTCCGGCATCAAGCAGAGATTTGATTGGTCGAAAGTCTGGACCCAACGGCCAATCATGACCCAGTATTGGCCGAATGACGGTTGACAATGGCGCATCCAGAACGCGTCAGAATTTCCAGAAAGCTATTGCTGCCTACGCTATATATAGAAAGCGCTGTACAAGTGTTCCTGACTTCGTTTTGGGCGTTAATATATATTGTGTACCTTTGGTGGTTCTTTTGACGTGAGCGCTAGCTTGGGAGGCTCAGATCGAGAACTAAGCTTAGAAAAATACCGTTACTACACGGTGCCTAGCTGCCATGCCACCCGAAGGAAGCCCGAGGGATGGGATACTACCAGGTTGCCCAAGCCTAAACAGAGGAATTCGAGAGGCAGATGTCAGGTTCGAACCACGGAGATTCCGGTCAGTAAATTCGCGCCTTAGCCACTGAGCCACCTCGCCCCCGAAATGTTTGGGATCGATTGACCCAAAATCTGTACAACATGGCGACAGAGATTTCCAGTTAACTTAAAACTTAGACTCTATGCTATGTTGGTGACAGTCGTGAATTGACGCTCAGTAAGACATACCAAAGTTGCAAAAGGTATCCCGAGAGATCAGCCTCCCAAGCACAACACCATTTGAATGTTGTTTACAAACGTACAATGTGGTGACTACGAACATCAAAAATACCAAGCACAGACCAGTGAAACCGACGACCGGCTCCAATATTCACCGGATTGTAACATCACTGTCGTTCACAGCGGAGAAAATGCTCCCCCGTCAAAGCAACTATTCTCCGACTGTTGTTCGACGCGCGTAGTGAGTACTGTGGTGCAAATTAGCGGAATGCGACCGCAGTCTTCAGCACGTTTACCATTTAAAAAATGATAAACGTAATCAACGACACAGCAGCGAATGCTGCGAAGCTATTCGCGAAGTCTAACAATTCGATTAGCGTTGCAACGGCCAATAGTCGACACGCGATTGTTCCAATCATCATCATCATCATTGTCAGCTGTAATAGCCGCGTACTCGTCGTATAGTGGTTGTAGCTGCCGCATTTTCGTTCACCGATGATCTGGGGGGACGGGGGGCGGGAGCTGATAAATTGGTGCATAAATCCAGCACTGTCAGTGGGCTGTCAAGTGGGGTGGGGGGTTGGAAAAGGAGCTATGCATTGAACGCAATAGCTTGGATGCACGAGCGCCATTGAGAGCGCGACTGGGCCATGTCTGACAATGTCTCTAGCCATTGATGTGGCCCGTTTCGGGGTCCCCATCCAGGAAGACAGCAGCGACCAGCGCAGCTGAGTTTTCTGGCAATGGCTTTCGTACTTCGCTGCCAAGTCATTGTTTGACCGCCTCTGGCTCTCTTCCAGAGATATGGCCGGAGACCGATCCCAATTCCGACTGATGGAATATGTGGACCCAACAGCTAATCGTGTTGCAGCTTTCGCTGAATACCGACTGTCGATGCCACGTCCAGAAGGCGTTCACAATTCCTGAAGGTCGTTGTTACGCACACTTGAAATACGATGAGCTGTGCATGTTACTTTTGCTTGTTCTGTACGTTTTGTGCACGATGTAATCCGCGTCTTTCTTTTGATGAAAGCGCTGTCTTTCGAAGACCAGCCCAGAACTGAACTGAGGTATAACAGTTACTACTGCGTGATTATGTGGCCGCATCAAACTATTTCTGCATGTGGGCAATTGATATCGGAATCCAACATAAACCGTAAGGTGAAAAAATAATTACCTTTGAAAGGAAGAAGGCCTTCACTGCGGAGTTATTCATTAGAAAATGCCAACTGAATAGTTACAGACTATTGGACAGGGAAGCAAAACTCTCATATGTATCTTGTTTACAAAAACTGAATATCCATCTCTTCTCTTTGAAAGCGTCTTTCTGAACTTTCCTGGATATTCATTGACTGTTGCTCAAATTCAAGCAAATGCTACAAAGCGACTCCACGAATTCCGCAATAGATCTTCCCTTTCAAGAGACGCAAAGCGAATTTACAAGAAAACATACTACTCGCATACTTCCCCCACCAGTAGTATCACCGTTACACCTTTAGCGGTCGACTGTGGAAACGCCCATCACAACCGTGAGTACATGACTTAGCCAACCGGACAAAATCCACAGTGAGGTGTCATATTGAGAGAGGTACTCGGGATTGAATAATACGCCGGATGTCAGCTGGGCTAGCGGTCGATCGACTTCGGAAAAGCAGAGCGCAGAGAGACGTTTACAGAGCATTTCGGAAAGCGGATCGGCCTCCAATGAAGCAAAACAATGGATACCGAAACGCCGAAGGACTGCTGACAAAAACTGCCGCAACCGTCAGGTCTCCTAACAAACCAAGATTGGTGAAATGAACCAGGCTTGTGAAACACGACTTAACAGCTGGTCATCGTGTCCCCAAGACTGGCTGTCTGTGCGCTCAGTTGAGTTCAAGTCTTTTCGCGAAATGAGCCGTGTCTGTGCGTACTGTCCTTCCAGTAGCCACGTCATTTGGTTATGAACAGTGAGTAGTAAAGAAAGAAACAAACTAAGGCAAGTGAAGCAGGAGTGAAGCAAACAGTGCTTGAGGGATAAAAATAACCAAACAGATATAGCAGAGTGACTGGTCACGTGGCGTCGCCATTGTGGTGAGTCAATCAAACCTTGACCAACAAACAAGGCGAACTAGTACACCTAAAACCCAGGTTATTCACGTTTCGTCCCTGAGCCAAGCGTCGTCAATCGGTGTGCCTCAGCAAACAAAATGTGGAGGGGTAACTAACTATTCACCTGACACGCGAAGCACGTGATCCAGCAGCGTCGATGGTGCACCCGAAACAAAGTGGGGAAGTAGATGATTTATTTCCAAAAGTCATTTACTGTAATTCGGCATACGACATCAAAACATTTGGGTTGGTTTGGGCGTCCTTCACAAGGAATAATAGCCGTTCAACCGTAACACCTTTTCGGTGCCATGCCACCCACAACAAGCACCGGGGATCGGATACAATTAGGTTGCCCAAGCCTAGACGGGAGCAGTCGGGGTGCATAAGTCAGGTTCGAACCACGGACCTTCCGATTACTAACTTGGCACCCTAACTTACCTCGAGCTCAACTGTAAACCAGTAGTAAATGAACTGTGACGCTGTGGACCTTGAAACCTCAACCAACAGCAACAAAAGTTTCAAGACACAAGAGAATATCTAAAGCTTGTAGTGCATCGCCTCAAAGGGTGATAGCAGGTCGGACTTTACGTTTCGAAGGTAGGAAACACAGTGAGTCGGACAACCCCCGGTCGCTTTAGCAAGTTCTCAGCGGACACAATCGCCCGGTAAAACGAGGTCATCGAAAAACATCAACAACGTAAATCGTGTTCAAGAACGAAGGTCAACCTTAAAGAAACTGATGTCCAGAAAAACCTCACGAAGCGTAGCGTCAAGAACGAGAGTAAAAAGGAATGAAAATCGTTCAGCTATAGCACTCTTTCGGTGCGCAACTGCCATGTCACCCGAAGGAAGCACGAGGGCTAGGATACTGCAAGGTTGCCCAAGCCTAGACAGAGGAAGTCGAGGGACAGAGGTCGGATTCGAACCATGAACCTTCCGATCAGTAACTCCTTATAAAGTTGCCGAAAACTCGGCGGAAACCTTATAAGTAGTGCGTTCGGCAGAAGAAATATACTGTGATAAGTAGGATATCGTACCAGTTGAAATATGAGGTACACATTCATGTGAGAGGTATCATAAGAGAGAAACTCAGCTGGCATTCATTCGGGCCCCTCCCCGGTTAGAAGCAAATCACTTTGCGAGTGAGTGTATTTCGCGAAAATGAGTATCCAGTTTCGGTGACCAGATGAGATGGACAAAACAAAGAATCTTACGAATACCAGATACTGCACGATAACTAATCAGGATAGAATTTCCAGTCGTTCACCAGTAGTCGGCTGATGGAATGTATTAGTCAGCAGAGGGTTAGATAAAAAAAAAGCTAGAACGAACCTCTCGTGACCTATGGAAATTCGTTTGGAAGGAAATTTCATATTTTTCCCATCTCTTTCTCCACCCTACATGCGGTCTACCGATAACACCCTTTCGGTGCCCAACTGCCATGTCACCCGAAGGAAGCACGAGGGCTAGGATACTGCAAGGTTGCCCAAGCCTAGACAGAGGAAGTCGAGGGACAGAGGTCGGATTCGAACCATGAACCTTCCGATCAGTAACTCCTTATAAAGTTGCCGAAAACTCGGCGGAAACCTTATAAGTAGTGCGTTCGGCAGAAGAAATATACTGTGATAAGTAGGATATCGTACCAGTTGAAATATGAGGTACACATTCATGTGAGAGGTATCATAAGAGAGAAACTCAGCTGGCATTCATTCGGGCCCCTCCCCGGTTAGAAGCAAATCACTTTGCGAGTGAGTGTATTTCGCGAAAATGAGTATCCAGTTTCGGTGACCAGATGAGATGGACAAAACAAAGAATCTTACGAATACCAGATACTGCACGATAACTAATCAGGATAGAATTTCCAGTCGTTCACCAGTAGTCGGCTGATGGAATGTATTAGTCAGCAGAGGGTTAGATAAAAAAATTACACCTAAAATCAAATTCAGCAGCCGCACACGCTGGTCGGAACATGCGTGACTCAATGGTTATAACTGTTAATCAAAGGTCCATGTGTCTGGTACCTCTACGACCACTCCATGGGTCTTACCGGATACCAAAACGCTCGTGTGGCCAAGCATTCCAGGATCCCACTATACTTTCAAAGTAGAAAAGAGTCTTCGAGAAATACACTCATTTGCAAATCAATTTGGTTTTACCAGAGACTCTGAATCTCCCGTAAAAACCATAGTGATTTGCAAATGAGTGTAGTTCTCGAAAGCAGTCTCCAATTTGGGTTCAAGTAGAACATAAGGTTGACGGAAACTCGGGGACTGCGCCTATCTGATGAGCCCGAAGTGGAAGGGCGAAACCGGTCGTGGGCTGTCAAAGAGGTTTCAGCAACCTTGTGAGTAGTTTCCTTTATGAAAATAGAAAAGAGTCTCTCTTGCAAAAAAAGGAATTCCGATAGACTGCAGAACTTAGCGTTGAAAAAGCGCCGCAAAGTGCTATAACATAGGGGCCCGCCATGTTCGAGATCGATCTAGAGGTGATCATTTGATGAAGAACTCAACATCGATTCTGGTAGAGACCCAGTTAGCACACACTTACTTTTCTGGGACGACTAAAAGGAGTCGATGGCTTTTCAAAACCCGTTAAATCCAATCGCGCCGATGGTGGACTCGGAGTTGCTGAGGCCACTCGAACAGCGATGCGCTCACCGTGACCACTGCCACCAGGCTGACCAGAGTCGATACTATCCGGAGTGTGCGCCGAGCGTCTGCAAATGAAAATTCAAGCAAATTAATCAAGCGTTCGAATCAGTGACATAACTGGAAATCCTTTGTGACTCTATGAAAATCAAATCAAGTCAACTCGTTCGTTTGTGGTACCCCCCAGGCGCCCGGAAACATCTGAAAGGCCTGGGTTGGAGCCCACTTTGAGCAACGTTAGATGTGTCCCAAAGAAAGCGTCAGGCTTGTGTCAATAAGCCTCCCGTATTCGTACATCCGTGCGGCTTTCCTAACAACAACAAAACTAGTCCCAAGTGGATAAGCCGCCCTACAACAGCCCATGCACTGCAGTTGATGCGAGAGCATCATTCACAGCTGCATCACTCCTTCTCACGTCTCCCACATACGCCACGCATGGCAAAGACGCCGTTCATGGATCACCCAGACAAGACAACAGTGACAGTCAAAGGAAACTCGGGCACACTTTGACACCCCCGACAATTTGATACTGCCCACCCACCATGCGTAGTGCTCAACACTGTATTTGATGCTGCCCCCCCCCCCCACATAGCATCTCACATTCTGTATGGCATTCAAAGGAGGGAGATGGCTCAAGTGGTTTGAGTGCGAATTAACTGATCAGAAGTCCGTGGTTCGAACCTGACCTCTGCTCCTCGACTTCCCCTGTCTAGGCTTGGGCAACCTGGCAGTATTCCAGCCCCCGTGTTTCCTTCGCGTGGCATGGCAGTTAGGCACCGAAAACTGATTGATTATTATCTTATGGCATTCAAACTCAACAGGTTGAGCTGATTAGGCCGTGTACTTCGTATGCCAAGGGATCGTTTGCTCCGTGCGGCTCTCTAAGCCCAGTATCGTGTCGGATAGAGGCGACCCAAGGTCGGTCCATGAGGTGGAAAGAAAGCATGAAAGCTCTTACCAGTCAACTCAGTCGCGCTAGTAACTGCCGTCTCCCCGGATGGGGACCGCGGGACAAGACAAACCAATGGTTAGTGACCATAATAGATGTGACATTGTCTTGTAGCCAACGGCGGTCGTGCATCAAAGCGATCGTCTTCACTGCGAATTTCCCCTCTTATCTCAATTTCGTGAGTAGGTATATTCGCTAAGTCCTGCCTAAGTGAGAGAAAGAGAGAGCATATTCTCATCACAAAGATGATTACCGATAGATAATTGCATACGAGGGACAAAAAAGCAATTAATTGGGAAATGACTGTCTGAAAATGGATCCTACGAGTGTACGAGAGTTGGTGAGGTGAGAACGGACTAATCGAAGTTCCGTACGGAGTGTGACTCCAAGAGCTTCCTGATAATAGAGATTTAAGCGGAGGGGAAGACACACGCTAGTCAGTAGAACTGAGCAAAAGTGTGAGCATGCAAAGTTGAACATATTGCAGAAGCGCCAACAAGGAGCGGAAATAGAGATACGAAAAGTTCCGATAATAATGGGTAGATTCATTGCTGGGCGACGTTTCGCTTTTGACACAAAAGCATCGTCAGACCAAGTGACTAACTAGGTTGCGAGGTTAGTCGAGATTTAAGGCGGAAGGAGAACCAATAAGCTATATCTCTGTTGGATGCCGGCCGAGGGATTTTTGTGCGTTAGGGTGGGTGACCACGTGTTGAGCGGATGGGGAAACTAACATGTGTTTGGATCCAGCCTAGGGTCTAGTTCTTTGGTTCGGTCCACTTGATGATCCCTGTTGAACATCGTTTGCACTTTCTGTCCGTCTGTGTGGATGAGCCAGTGCTAGGAGAGTTGTGTAAGAAGGATGTTGTGACCATTGGTCGGGTTGGGACTTCCATCTCCACTCCCCATGTTTTTGCTAATGATTCTACGTGAATTGAGATACGCCTCGCTCAGATAATGCACAGGTTTATATGGCGTATACGATGAGCACATCTCACACACCACTATCCAAAAAAATCCCATCCTGGTTGTGGGAATCTCCGGAAGCTCTTTACAACACGCCCAAATACGCAGTCAATGCTTGTTGCACGAGTGGCGTATTTATCCAGCATATGTTCAACGAAATCCAGAAATTAGTTTAAAAAAGGAAACAGAATAAATGAGTTACCTTCCATCCAACTCTTGTACAGAGGGGGGCGAGATGGCTCAAGTGGTTATAGCGCGAGTTTACTGACCAGAAGGTTCACGGTTCGAACTCGACCTCTGCCTCTCGACTTCCTCTGTCTAGGTTTGGGCAACCTGGCAGTATCCCAGCCCTAGTGCTTCCCATGGGTGGCATGACAGCTAGGCGCCGTTCAGCGGGTGTTACAGCTGAACGATTTTTTAAATTCTTGTACACAGCAGTATGGAAAAGCACACTGCGGTTTTTTTGGTTACTAGCGCACGAATAGCTGTTTACTCAGTTGCGTACAAATCATCACTGTACAGGTTTAGAGAGTACAAGGAATGTTATTCTAGAAAGACAGATACGATAGCATCATCCTGCTTTAACAACTGGGCTCGAAACGTACCCTAGTAAGCATCAAGTTAAAAGCCAGGTAGTGTTAACCATCCACGTTTCCACTGTAACCCGGAGGGTGGCTTGTTGTACGTCGGGAGAGAATCGATAGCTGGATTAGACATTCGAGTAGGAACAACTCATTCAAACCAAACAGAAGACAACGTTCTTCAACTGATTGGTATTTTCTCTCTGACGGATACAGTACTCATAGACGGTTGATATATGAATAGTTGAGAAAGAATGAATTCATATGAGGAGTGGGAATTCCAACTGGAAAGTCATCACTCACGGGGGCAGTGGACATAGGACCACGTGTTGTGGATTCCGTGGCGGAAGGATGAGTGGCGCAATAGCTTGTCTAGTAATATAACATCAGATCGTTGGGCCTAGGACTCGTGAAGGTGGCACAACGCCGATGGAGCAGTTTGGGGCACCGGCTCCACAAAGTCACGTTTGCAACTGCCTAGGTAAGCTAACAAAAAACCGACCATCTACTCAACCTGATCTACTCTCGCCTCAGTAGCGAATAAATTCTCAAACAGGTATCCTTGGATCTGGGGCAGCAGCGCTTCTATTGACCGTCGAAATTCACCTCTGGTAGAATTACGATCATCCAAGGCATCGGAAAAGTGTAGCGACGCTCACCAACCCCATAGCTGAAGAGTCCAGCAACACTGTTAGCAAAGGAAACACCTGATAAGTGCAGTCGCCTCATGGGAAGTGAACAGAGTTGCAGCGTGACACAACAGCCTCAGGTGTTTACACTGGATGGGTTCATAGAGGCTTCGGAATCAAACCGGTAGCTACCAACCACAAAAATCCCCAAGAGTGATCACCAGTCAGAACAGGAGGATCTAACCACCGTTCGAGTGATGACCAAAAATAGGTACGAAGGTATATTGGAACCTCGCTGACGAGGAGCGCTGCTGTAGACTTCAAGCAAGTGGCTTCCCTTTGGAGGCGACCATCTTGATCCGCTACACAGCACAAGGATAGAAGCTTGTGTTTTTGCCGTTGCGAAATAACTTCTGTCTATCAGTAATTAGCTCCGTTACAGCCATAGAAAGAAAAAAAGAAAGCGTTCAGCTGTAGCATCCTTTCGGTGCCTAGCTGCCACGCCACACGAAGGAAGCACGAGGACTGCGACACTGCCAGGTTGCCCAAGCCTAGACAGGGGAAGTCGATAGGCGGAGGTCGGATTCGAACCACGGACCTTCCGGCAGTTAAATCACGCTCTAACCACTTGGGCCATCTCGCCCCCACAGTCATAGAAAACACTCAGGGTAGGTACAGCTTGCACGCCACGGTTGTTGCATACGAACTGCCTAATCAACGAATTCCGATGGAATTCGGAGAATAGAGAATCCCTATTCTCCGTACAAGTGATGACGTTTAAAATGTCTGACGTTGGAAAGAGGCCTGGGTTCGAAATTTCCAACGTCAAACCTGATTGCCACGAATAGGGGTGAGTAGAAAAATCAATAAATATCACCACTGACGACATTGGAACCAGTAGATGCACAAACAATTCACGAATGCTGAAGTCCAAAATGGCATCGCCTGATTGTACTATCATGCGACATGAAAAGTTGATGATTTCGGAGTCTCAAAAAAGGACGCTTAAATGAATCAAGTGAAACTTGGCGTTTGCGGCGTCTGACTATAGAGCTTATTCACAAGACTGAGGAGGAAAAGCATGAATCTTCCGGTTCTACAAGAGTTGAATCGGGAGGTAGCTCAGTGGTTAAGGTGTGAAGCTATTGACCAGAAGGTTCTCGGTTCAAACACAGCCCCGACTTCTCGATTGCTCCTGTATCATAGTTCCCGAGCTTCCTTCAGCTAATCATCAAAAGGACACAGAGGCTGAATGATCAATTTATATGTGCATCATATGTCTTTGAGTGTAGTCCACATCAACTGATGGGTCCCAAGATGGTCAAGACCGTTTTCATCCGTTGCCTTTCAGTCGGAGAGTGGCCGACCGATATATCAAACATTCGCCCCAAATATCTAAATTTTCTCGTGACGCCACAATAGAAGGAATTAAGGGTTTCTTTAATTAAGTGAGCAGCACTTTGTTTGATTGTCTTCCGGCAACTAGAACAGACGAATTTGGATGCGTTTATGTGCTTAGTTTAGCTAAATCTCAGTGAAAACAGAGATTAATTTGTTGTCTAAAACAACCTGATCACAACGGAAACCTCTAGAAAAAAATCGTTCAGCTGTAACACCCTTCCGGTGCTTAGCTGCCATGCCATCCGAAGGAAGCACGAGGGGTGGGATACTGCCAGGTTGCCCAAGCCTAGACAGAGGAAATCGAGAGGCAGAGTTTGGGTTCGAACCACGGACCTTCCGGTCAGTAAATTGCCGCTCAAACCACTTGAGCCATTTCGCCCCCCGGAAACCTTCACAAGAGTATAACAATACAAATCTCAAAAAAAACTCACATCGACGGGGAGGGTTTCAGATATGGGATGGGGTCATCTGTTTGGCGCCTCTGTCTGGATTCAACAATCTTCAGGCCGTTTTGTGAAACAGGAGACGAACTGCCCTGTGCAAGCTGTGTTGATTGTTGATCCAGGATGGAACTGGTCGTCAGTCTAGAATCAAGCGACTCGCGACCGGATAGGCTGCTACTTCGGATAGTGGACTGTACGGTGGTGGTGCTGGTGTTGATAAGGCCGGGTGAGACACGTAACACAGGCGGACTGCTTGCGGCAGTTTCCGGAACATCCGGATTCGTCTTTCGAACAATCACATCAGTGTGTGGACGGGAAGAGGGCCCTTCTAAATGGGTCGGTGATGATCTTGACGAAATGCTTGAGGTGTCTGAACGTCCAGAGCGACTTGAGTGTTTTGAACCAGAAACATGCTTGAACAGAGACCGAAGACCTGATGAAACAAGGCATTACAAGTTGGAGGTGGACTTAAAGGTCGGTAAACAACATGAGAGTGGTAGACAAACAAACAAGAAATTTTGATGACATCTAAGAAAATAGGTCACATTACCAGAAAGACGTATCCAGAAGGAGCAAGGCGTTACGGATTCTCGATAGAAAATTAATCAGAAATGAGTACCACAAACAAAATCCGCTCTCCAATTACCGCAACGACAAATGTTTGGATTTTGGGTATTACAGCGGCCCTGTGATCAACAGAAATATAAAACTGACGATTCTTAAGGTGGTCCGACCCCATACCTGTCAGCTGCGTTGAAGATTTCACTAAGCCCGACAGAAGCGGAGTTAGTCCGTTAGTTTCTTCCTCTTCGTTTCCCAGTCAGCGAGTGATCGATGTAACGATCTTAGTTTCCGTCTGTTGAATCGCAAAATTCCGTGGCGATGAAGTTATACCTGCCAGTAGGACGAGAGCTTATAAGCCCTAAGGTATCGGACAAGCTGAGGGCTCAAACGGGACACTTTGGAGAGCCATCTCCCTGCCTAGCAAAATCCGTGATCGGACTCCTACTGTATACCGGCAGTTTCCGCCCTTTGAAGATGGAACTATGGGGTATTTTACAACCACGTTTGCTGATACATCGGATAATGTAGACTGAGAACGACAAGATGAACCAGACGTCCAAATATAAAAATCAGGTTCTTTATTCTGCACCCGAACCTAATGAACAGAAGGTTCGAACCGAACCCCGACATCTTGACTGTTCCTGTCTAGGCTGGGAGAATCTGGCAGTACTTGACCCGTCGTGCCTCGATGTTTGTGGTGTGGCTGGCACAAGGTGAGTATCTGGTCACGCCAGTCGCAGTCTAAATGGAAAATAACCTGCTATTCCCGGTGTTGAAAACCAGTTCATATTGATGATCGAAAAATGAAACTGGTGGACAATCTGAACTCAGACTTCATTAAATATATTCCTTGCCAGTTTCATCATTTGGTATTTGGACCCCTCCTGCAGACTAGGATGGAGTGACTTAATCGGATAAAATTCTCTCGACAGTCGAAATTCCGTCCAGCAACCTCATCACTTTGTAGAATTACCAAAGTCCACTGCCTATGAACAAGGCAAGCGATAGCTCATCAGGACCTGATGCCTTGCGTCGTTCCAGCTGTTGAATTTCCCTGGATATTTTCGACGCAGTAAGATCCACGTTCATTGTCTATTGTGATCTAGAAGGCATGGGCAATGATACTGAGGATGAGTTCGATTACTGCTTAGTCGTTGAGCATCCTATGCGTCTTGGCAATCCGGTGACGATTTCAGCGCTTTCTTCCAAGACGGTGTGTGTTCGGTCGTTTTGGATTAGTTACGCCGAGTAGTTGAAAAAATTTACGGGTGTTCCCGGAAGCTCTTGAAGCATCCGCCACAGACGCGTGCTAGGGCCATCAAGATTCACGGTCTGTTTATAAATAGGGAATATATTCCAGCTTCATTTGTCCATGTGCTTGGTCACTGTCATGACGATGGACATGACTCCTCAATGTCGGGCGTAGTGTTCCAAAAAATGGACATATGTAGCGACTTTCATCCAAAGGTGTGGTACCATTTTAGTGCATAGCTGACATGCAACCCAAAGGAAGCACGAGGGTTGAGATAACGCCCACTTCTCAAGCCTAGACAGGAGCAGTCGCACGAGAGCTGAGATACTTTTAAGTTGTTATAACTCAGAAAACGGTCATCGGAGCCGAACTACGGACCTTCTGTTCAGTAGCTTCATGCCCTAACCGCTTAGCTATATTAATAACCCCACCTGATAAATCCCCCATGTGGGCATCCAGAGAAGCAGACCATAGCATGCCATCACTCACATTCTCCGCTACGCCTCGGCTTCATTGCAGCTTTTACTGTTCGAGCCGTTAAGAAGGCTGGTTAAGAAGCTACTCTCGAGCAAGTCCTGGGAAACTTATAATAAACACCTGCTACATTCTCGGAACTAAAATAAAATATTCAATTATACTGAATGAACCTAGGAGCTCTCGCTGGCCAGATGCGACCAACTGCGACCTTCAGATGCTTCTATAAGTGCTGAAGTCGATCGCTGTAGCACCCTTTCGGTGCCTAACTGCCATACCACGCGAAGGAAGCACGAGGGTTGGGTTACTACCAGGTTACCCAAGCCTAGAGAGGGGAAGTCGAGAGGCAGAGGTCGGGTTCGAATCGTGGACCTTTGGTCAGTAAATTTGCGCTCTAGCCACTTGGGCCATCTCGCCTCAGTCGATTGCGCCTCATAGGTACAGCTTCCTTGTTGACTGGATACCTATAAACGGTCACGTAAGATTTTACAACGAGCTGCTCAAAGCTTCATCTCAGCTAATGAAGTTCAACGGGTCCGTCTACCCTCCTTTTCGGCCAGTTTTGTTTTGATGAATATCATCAAGCAATCGAAAATCTTAGTAGCAAAACCGAATCTAGAGAAAGATGAGCAGACTTGGACTATGCGGACGACACTGTTCGACGCCTTCAGCCCGCGCCACCGGTCCAAAACATAATTTTGTTTTTGGTTTCTAGCTTCAGCGTGTTTTTTGAACTTTCGGAGCGCAGAGCAGTTTTAAGATGCTTTATAGTCTCCATGAGGAAGGAGAGACCTAGGATTACCGGTCGGTTCTCTCATTAGACCAGTAACATGGGTCGTGGCTCTGTGAGGAGCTCTCCAAAAGCTTTCCTACAAGCAACGGTGTCTAATTCCCAATTTCTGTTTAGTTCCATTATTAATGAGATGAGATGAGCACCGATAGGTCTATAAAACCCCGCTGACGTCCTCTTCTTTTGAAGGGCAGGAAGAGCAAGGATTACTTGAAAAGCTAACCGAAGTCATCCAGTTCTCCAGTATGTATTTGGCGTCCACAAAGTAAAAGTCATGCTGCGGGGTATACAGCGCTTGAAAACTCCTGAGATTTCAAGGAGTGACAATAGAAAATACAGAAGCTTAGACGGATCTCAGAAGTTGCCTTAGCTCTGATGGGAGTGTGACAGACGAAGCTGACGCATGGAAAGCAGGCGCGCGTCTACCGGATAGCGTTACGTGTGGTATCAAAATGGTGTCCCACAGAGCCCCAAAGAACGCCTATACCATACTCGTTTATGAAATGTATAGTTGTACGGCTGCCAGCCTTCGAGTGAAGGATCACAGCCATCTTTGAGTATTCGACCAACGATGCCTCAGGAGTATGGCTGGAGCCAATGAATTCGCAATGAGGTGATCGATAGACGGGTTTTTGTTAAGCAGAAGGTATCTCCGCGAAGAATGCATCCAGCACTAAAAGCAAGGTGGATGATCCACAAGCCAAATTATCGCCTGCGGAGGCAAGCGCTGTTTTGTGGTGAAAACTTAGAGGTGGACAGAAGTTGCCATGGTATAAAGGAATCAAGGATGTTGAGAAATGTTCGGACGCTGTTGGTGCTGATCGCTTTCTAGGATTGAGTCCATGTGCTTGGTGAGGGACAATATGGTGGCTAGCCGATGTCAGTAGTGATCATGCTATCAGTTTTCACCCACGTTGTCTGACTGAGTGTTGGAAATGCAGACACCTCGGACAGTTGTGGTAAACTAGCCCTAGTTCCCCTTCCCTGTATCATTTCTCGCTTTTTTCCTCTGAAACTTCCTTCAAGTAAATTGGCATAATTGTACGTAGTAAAGAGTAAATGTTCACCTCTTATGTTGCTGTAAAAGACGCTGATGATGATGATGACGATGATGATGATGATAAGAGTCATCTGTGGCAACTGGAATGGATTCGACTAAAGCTGAAAGGCCATGTATGTAAGGTAACCATGAAACCTGTCTTACTTTTTCATCGCAAAACTTGGCCTCCCGGTCCCCAGGACCCTGAAGGTTCTCAAACGTTTGATTCTAGATGCTACTACACCATTGGGGGCGTTAGATGGTCATAGTGTTCACAATTTAAAACTCGTGATGAATCAGAATAACTGATACAACTGACAAAGTGTGTTACACTAAAGTGGTGGAAACATGTATCGCAGTACACGTAATACGGTACCACCGTAACCAATCACGGTTCGTCAAACAAAAAACAAACGAAAACTTGCGTCTGCGAGGGATGTCAAAAGCGGGAAGTTGATAGTTGTCTGTCGTGACCGTTTACGCCCCAACCGGCTGTAGCTCCGACGCCGTCAGAGACAGGTTTTACGACGCGCTGAATGCCCTGCTGCGGCGAGCTAAAAGCTCAGACATTGTGGTGGTTGCCGGAGATATGAATGCATAAGTGAGCATGCTTAGTGCACCTGAGACTCAATTGGGAGGTCGACATGGACTATACTCGGTACGTACGGACAATGGGGAACGATTGCTTCAGCTGTGTGCGGATCGCAGGCCGTTTATATGCAGTACGAACTTCCGAAATAGCCGAAGTCGACTGGCCACTTGGTGTCCTCCGACAACAGGCCGGCCACAAACTCAAATCGACCACATTGCCATCAGTTACCGATGGCGCGGATCCATAACTGACTGCCGGTCGTTTTAGAACACATTCGTTGATTCCGATCAAGCACTCGTCCGGAGTTGCTTCTCCCTACGTTTGCCAGGGCCGCGTAAGGGGCAGACAAATCGCTTGGTAGCTGAGAGGCTGGTAGATCCGGATGTTGGACGAATTTACCAGAGTCGTCTTCTAGAGCCTCTTCCAAACGCTCCACCATCAGATGCGAACGCAAACTGGGACGAGACTGCCCTATTTGCATATTGCTGGGAATTTCGTCTATGGCACGACACTACCAAGCTCACTCAAGCACCGGTGGCACTCTTTGAATCTCGGAGAAATATCCCAGCCGGCGCCGAACACAATTTGATGCGACGAATTATCAGACGTCAAGTGGAGGTGAGCGTGCAAACCGACCGCGAAGTGTGATGGACAAGGAAAGCCAAGGAAATGGAAGTGGGGTAGTAGTTACACGCTCGCCTCGCATGTCAGATGTCCGGGGTTCAAATCCCGACACGGCCACTGGATATGCACCGCTCATGAGCTCTAATAAGAGCGAAACTCGAGTCCAGTGCTTCCCTTTGGTGTGGACTCAGCGGAATAATTACACCGGAACAGGAACACAGCCGTTCAAACGACAGTGATGTGGCTATGAACAAAAATACCTATCCCGCAAAACCCCAAAATGGTAGGGTCTCAGAAAGCCGGTAGTGCCCGAAGTTTATTTCAGTTGATCCGTGCGATCGGTCCCCGGAAACCACCAGTTAGCGAAACCATCAAGGGTCGGAATGGAGTGAACATCTCTAATAAAGAAGAACGCCTCGACCGATGGGCTGGATACTTCGAACAACAGTTGTCGAGACCACCAGCTGGATCCTGTCTGGAGCCCTACAGCCTCGGAGGTTTATGACTGCATATGTTCTCTCAAGCGCCACCGAGCTCCTGGTCCGGATGACGTCCAACCCGCACTGTTCAAAGACGGGGGTGAAATCCTCAGTCAGCGCTTGTCCGATCTGTTTGCTTGCATTTGCGAAAAGGAGTCTGTCCCAGACAACTGGGGATAGTCGGTGATAGTGCTCATATTCAAAAAAGGGGCTGGTAGTGAGTATGGCAACCATAAATAGATCAGTTTAACCCAGGTCGTGACGAGACTGTCCGCGTCGCCCACGACGGCTCGCGAAACACTGACTCGAGAGCAGCAGGCGGGATTCTGGCCTGGTAAGGGTTGGGTTGACTAAATCTCCATACTCCGTCAGGCGCTAGGACAACGGCATACGTATAAGCGACCCACAATTCTAGTGTGATAAATGAGATAAATGCACGAATCTGTAAGGTTCAAGTCGCGTTCGCTAGTTCGAGGCACCCATGGCGTCAAAGTGGTGTATTTCTGAACTTCAAGGGACGCGTGTATCAGACTACAGTGCGGGCTGTTTTGTTGCACGGCTGTGAGCATTGCCTGTTCGAACAGCAGAACTGAAACGTATTCAGGTGTTCGGCAATCGTTGTCTCAGAACCATGGCTCGTATGGGTTGATGTCAGCAAATCCGTAACGAGGCAGTTAGAAAGCGCGTTTTCGGTTGTGCAACGGGTACTTCCATTGAAGAACGTGTCCAGCACCAGAAGCTGCGTTGGTTGGGAAATGTGTTGCGTATGCCTAGCCATCGTTTGCCGAAGAGAGTGCTGTTTTCCATGCCCAATCCAGAGGGACGCAAACAGACAGGTGGCCAACCCTTGATTTGGCAGAGGAGTATGAAGGAGACCACGAAACGCTTGGGTGCTGTCGGTGCTACTCGCCTTCCAGGAAGGGGACATTGTGATTCTCACTGCCCTAGTTGGAGACACTACAAGATGTGGCTGCAAACCGATCTTGTTGTCAAATTCTATCCAGATTGCCTGAACGAGTGTCTGGAGGTGTAGGCACCTCGGGATGATTGTAGTAAGCTAGTGCTAAGTCCCTTCCTCGTCCGCCTTTATTCTTTTCTTCACAATAAGGCTTTAGAATAAGTCATGAGTGTACGGCAGCGACTTATCGGTGTTGAAAACTGATGTTATGCTATCGATGACGATTATCTTGGCCATTATTGTTCAGTCTTTTCGGAGACTGGACGAAAGACAGTGCTACTGACTTCGAACGCAGTTGGCTACCAGTAGAATGGCGATGGACCCATCTGAATGCCTTCGGCAAGACTGGATATTCGAGTTTCGTGCCTAGCTCCGCAGCGATGTTTGGAGAGTGCTGTGTTATCCAGGAGTTTAGACAAGACCGTGGCACTAGATTGTCCTGCTGAGGGTAGACAATCAATAGTTCTATGAACTTTGATTGGGAGGAAGGTGACAGGTTAGTAATCAGATGTATTGGATATTTTGGGCCTGTTTTTGCAAATAGGCGTGACGTTCACATGTCTTCGACGTTCTTGAACCGCAATTCCTAAAATTTAGCTCGTAAACTTGTTAACAAGAAAATACCGCAGAATTTTGATGCTGTTGTGGATATCTCCACTTGTAGCCCGTTTGTAAGTGACCGCTGTCGGGTTGAATCTGACGTGCTGAGACTACTTTCTATTTAGATGAAGCTGGAGGCGGTGACATCAGCATGGGTTTGTGGGCATACGGCTATGTACTGTCGGAGTTAGGCACTGGTAGTCTTTTGGTGTTATGCATAGATCCACCAGTTAGGAAGCGACATGTGCTGTCATGATTTCATGGGAGATCATGGCCTATTTTGAATTGAGTAGCTGGAGAATGACAAAGTGGAGGATCCGCTACAGGAGTGCTATACAGTGGTCTCTGGGGGCAATATGCCCCTAGGCCGATAAACCATCTATGTCAGCCCAATTTATAGTTCCGCTGTAAATAGTCTTTGTGGCAAGGTGGACCACACTGTCCTAATTTGTGGCGCCATGCTAGTCAGAGCTGTCGGCCGTCAGGCGGTTCCGCGTATCCGACTACATGTTAAATCACCGAATAAACCCTAATGGCTCGCTCTCTACTTGTCGCCCGGACCAGGGTCAGAGCAACTGGCCCTAGCGGAAGACCATTATTAGTCACACTGAAGATAACGTGGCCAAAATGGTGTTAGTTAATTAAGCATTAATCACGAAATATTCTTTCGTCGGGACAGTACCAAGATGGAATGGGATGTCGAGAGCTAGAATTCGAGTAACCTGATGCGTGTTAGGATAAAAAGTTGGTACATGAATCTCTGGGGACTTTCGAAATAGTTAAGAGCATCTAACTTCCTGAGATACTGTTCCGGAGTTGTATACACCACATTAATATGCACCAACAACTCGCACCAACGGAATAATCAAGTGCCAACAAACTGTGGCGACGGCAGTCCACGCGTGAGTGCGAAAGGCGACGTCCTTAGCCAACCCGAGATTCAGGGCTGCCTCATCACCCGGTCCTCATAGACCTAAACATTCTCTATGCCTCGTTTTCTCATGAAATATCATGCTTTAATGGATACAATCAAAAGTCATGACTTATTTTCGCACGTAAGAAAAGCTACGACAGGAAGACCAGTGACTATACCTTTCCTCTGACTTCTCTTCGATTTATCTTCGGCAGATACCTGAGAGTTGGGATGCAAAAGAGCAGAGGGAGGAGAATCTGTAGGCGAGAGATCAGCCAGATTGAATAATTAGGTGGGACGTTCGGCAGAGGACCAAGCCGCAACTTCGTTCGTGATTGGTTGCGAAAAGGTGTCAGCTTACGTGGTCTTTAATGGGCTTTCACGGATTCACGGATTCACGGATTGATACACAGGATCGAGGATTTTGCCCATGTTTCCCGGGTCGGTTTTGTTCTTGTCGGTCAGTGGCTGTCGTTCACCTGAAAGGCACAAGTGAAAAAAGGGGGCTCAGTGAACCCGTCCTCGAGTAAAAACCCAGGAACCCATAGACTCAGTTCAATATGATGTAGAGACGCTCATCCTCTCACCGAGAAAATCTTCTGAATGTCTTTGTTCTTCTAACAATTGGCGGCGCCAAAATAACATATTCCGGTGACCTATGAATTAGACATCTGAGATTTTGAGAAATAATAGCTCAGAAATATGAATCACGAAATTTGTTTTTTTTTAACAGCTGGACCACATTTCCGGATTGGTGTTTGACATTCCCAACATGACTGGTGCTCTTTGTTGGAGTGTTTTGATTGCTCCAGCCTCTAAGTGGAATAATTCTAGTGTTTTTTGTTTAAGTAACATTTGGTTTTTTGAAGGGATATGTTGTGTGCTTTACTCCATACGAAAGCTGTTTAAATGCATTTTACCACAATCGGTAATCGCTCGATAAAGATGCGGGATATTGAGTACGATTCATTGGGTCACCTTCGAAGGGAGTGTTCCTGTTGCATACTTCCATCTCCCTGATCTCCAAACGATCATCTTGTTTGTCCACAAATGGGACTGTAAACAGGAAGCAAACAGCTGCCGTCCAACTTTACCACACCGCGCAATATCCGGAAGCAATAAGGTTTCCTCACGCCAAAATGAACAATGTCTTACCGCTAGAAGCGTGTGGAATTTCACGCTCCAATGCCGCCTTTCTCCAATTAATAAGTTTTCGATAAGTAATGCCCCCAGATAACATGCAAGCTGGTCATGAAGGTTTTGCAATTGACTGTGGCGTCGCTCAGAAGGGCCACTGCAATCACCTTGGTCCTATCTATTTGGTTAAGTACCTGCAAACTTCCCTGGCCCAGTGATTGTGAGAATTGCTGTCACAAATATTTTCCCCCATAACCATTCCCTCAAAACATGCCTGGCAATTCGAGTGTCGGTTGACAAATCCTGCGTGACCGTAAGGAGTGAACCGCTTGCGTCACAGCGCACTTCAGGTAAACCCGAGGAAGCAGCCTGCCCTGGAGACTTTGGGCATCATTGGGTTTACCCACTCAACCATACAAAGCTTTCATGGCGCATACGTATGACGCTTTGCTTCAGTGATCTCGCGTGAAAAGTGCTGTAAAAGAGCGTGTAATTACTGATTTTCGTTGAACGTCCTCAGATAAAGTTACCGGTCTGCAGAATGGCAATATCTGTGGTATAGACATTGCAACGGACTATGTTCAGGTTGGGTATAGTTTCCGGTATCTTAACCACCTGCACCTGTTTAGGTGGATCGACATCAGTTTCTGTCAGTTCACAGAATACCACACTACTAACGTCACAGTCTAAGCACGAGAGCAGTTTATTTGAACCACACAAACGATCCACAAGAAAGCAGCGACAGAGAGAGGAGGAGCACATACCTTATTTGGATGGCTTGCAAAATGCCGTCAGAAGTCAGCTTGACACAGCGTGTGGCAGATGAGTGAGCATGGAGCGCAATAATGAGATACCCAGGAGACGAGGTTTCAAGGCCTCTGTTCGCCAGATAGGTATTTGACAGACTGCTGGGATTGTCCCTTCATATGACGCATTTTCCTGTTATTTCGCGCTCGTCGGTCGTCTTGCATGGTGCACACGGTATGTTGTTCTTGTAAATTTCCTTCTGGAGGCAGAAACGTTTTGCCGTTCTCCCATGCTTTACCGTCCATTCTCGCTAATAATTCATGCTCTACACAATACTTCTTTGATTTGACCGTACAGCGGGCCGATCTTCCTGGTCGGTGTGAACAGGACGTTGCTGCAACCAAACTCCGAAAATGGGCTGACTTTATTGGCTCTAAAATCCCGCAGTAAGAACACGGGCCGCTGAATTTTTTTAAATTTGTAGTCAGCTGCTGCAACCAACTTCCCCTTGAGCAAATGTAGTTAGCCTGTGAATACAAGTGAACAACATGGTGGAACTCAACTGAATCTAAGATTCTGACTTACCGTACATGGCCGATGATGTGTGCGGTATTTGCTGTTTGATCAAGCATCAGTTTACCTTCTGGTACCTGACTGAAATAAATTTGGTTACCCTAAATCTTTGCACCCTGACTGAGGCGCAGTCACACAAATTACAGCCTGTTATAAAAAATCCACGGATATTAAATTCGTGCCATCTGGTATAGCCCCGAGGGTTGTTGAGGGTCATATAATATTGATGTGTTAATTTCCGAACTTGTAGGGAACATGCAGAATGAGGCATGATCGGCCCGTTGCAACATGAACAGGGCAAGCAACAACACAACAGGGATCAAGACCCAACCAAGGAGACCTACTCATCACGTGAATCGTCAGCGCAGTTGCCAAAGCCAAATAACTACGGTCGCTGTTCATTTAATAAGTGTATCCCGTTGGTTGTACTTTCCCCCCATTCGTGGCGTTGCCCGCCGCGTTCATACTGTAACGACCCGACGTGCCGCAATTTGCACGTTTCCTGCAAGATGAGAAATAAACCCAATAATAATGTCATTAGTTCAATTACGAAGACAGCTGACTTGAACTCAGACAAAAGAATCGCTGCTGGCCATGTGTGCCCGTGGGTGGTTAATTAAATGGCCAGGGTCACGAAAATCAAAAATAGATGTAAAGACACGGAACAATTTGAAGTGGAAAAATGGCGATTCTCATCTCCGGCGTATGGCATTTAATAACTCACTGGAGAGAAGGCAGGTCTGGAGGATATATTCGAAAATGGTATGGCGCCAATGCATAGGGCCAAACGAGCCCCGTAGATGAACTCGTTGAAATTGGAGAAGGGAAAAACTGAAATGGCCGCGGTACACCGGGATGATTAAATCCGAACGTAAGGTATGATGGGTTACAACGAACTCGTCCTAGAGGATTTTAAGCCGGGTAAGCAGTCTTGCCCGAGTGTGCGAGATGTTACAGTTGGGAGCAAACAACAAGTAATTGCGGGATAGTCATCGGATTTGGCATGGCAAAGCCGTTCCCTCATCACACTGACGTGCTTCGGTTTCTGGTCAGGCCCACAACGGTCGTCAGTGTTGTGGCGTTCAGACAAGGGATCCACATTCCTGTGGCAGCTGGATCAGTGTTAGATGAGGAAATTGAAACACGCAGCGTCATGCAAAGTGAAGTCACAGACTGTTTCTATTCATTTGGAGGAATATGTGGGTAATGGCCGAGGATCGGACAGAACGAATGAATAATGGCTGTAAGGGGCGCTTTGAGCAACTACGGCCGAAGTTTGAAACTTCGGCAGAGTAGAATCTACAGAAGAATTGCATGTGAGCAATATCGTCTGGACTTGCAGTATTGGGCTACACTGGACTCACCTGAGTGATCCCAGGGGCATGCGATAAAAAGGAAATCTAAAAGACGATGGCAGAAAACCTGATGAACCCACGAAAATATGGATTTTTGTATGCTGACCTGGCACACCAGGACTTACTGATGTCGGCCATGTATTATGAGGATAAAACAAATAACTATTAGTGGGTTTTTGTTCGACATGTATGCTGTACCTTCGGATGGCGATGCAGGAGACCATCACTATTGGTGAGGATTTGTCCCGTTTTTCACTGAGCGTCAGTCGATCAGAAGGCGTACGGACGGGTCGAGAGTAGGTTCCTACTTTTTGGAAGGCGAGGACTTGGCCGAGGTAAATAGCAGGGAACCTAACCTTTGGACTACTTGTCGAGATGGACAAAGGGCAGTTGTAGTTTTTAGCACCGCTGAAGAATCCGATTATTGGGTGTTTGCTGTACGGAAGGGGAGTTTAGTGTAAATATAGACAGCAGACAAATAATCAACAGTTGAGCGACAGCTTCCGAGGTGATGGGTAAGGACTTTAATTTAACTGGAATCTACTAAATGAACCTAGCAGACCAAGTTGTCTAATCCGGATGCGCGAAAGACGTGACCCCATTGTGCGTGTCCAGCGAGTTGCTGCGACAATGGTTGTTGGCCTTAATTCCGTGGATGATGAAATGCGTCCCACGGTGCTTGAATTCTTCCCTGGAGTATCTTCGCCTCAGAGGGGCCCTAATTCTTACTTATGCTGTGTCTGAAAAAGGTTTGGCCAAAAGTGCCATCATTATTGATCCAGGAAACATACGGCAGGGACATTGTAGGATTTTCAAGGACATTTTGGTTGGAAAAAATGTTTCTCATTTCGCGTAACTGCTGCGTGGAATAACCTTTCTCCGAAGGTTGTCCACTCTCCATCTAGTAACCATTTCAAAGCCCTGTTGGACACTTATTTATACTGGCCCTCGTGCTAGCAAGCTGACTGCCCCGCGCCGAGGACTTAAAAACAGTGCTACACGCTTTTTACGCTTATGCCTTTTAGCTGAACGGCAGCCGCTGAACAAAGTGAACAAAATAGACCCAGGAAGTTGGAGCAAAGCCTCCATCCTGTATATCAAGCCATGAATCCGTGAATTTCACACCTGACCTTGATTTGTTTATGTGCACAAAAATAAATAACCTGTCATAGTAACGACAGAGACGGTGCTTAAAAAGACAGATGTGCGAGCAGAACAAATCACTTGAAGGTCTACCGTTCCTTCCAGGGAATACCTTTCGTGATCCAACCGTAAGTTTATGACATCTTTGTTTTTTACTAATCTGAATAGCAAACCAATTTCCATCTGAGCCATACACTTTCTTATAAAAATGGATTTCGAGTTCCAAAGCCATATCCTGAAGTTGGCATAGGAGGGAAACCGCTCAAAGTCAATCAGCTGACAGAATCGGAGTTAGATGATCTAGCCAACTTTCAGCCGACTCTCACGTATGGAAATACGAGACAGGCACCACCAACCGAATTCTTACCAGCCCATGTAGCACTTGACAAAAAGGTGCTGCGGTTTTATGGGTACTTCAAAGAGACGGTGAATGAATCTCCTCTAGAACACTACCGAGTCAGATATGTACAAATATTCTATTTTCTGGAGGACGACAGTATTCAGATCATGGAACCACATCAAAACAACAGTGGAATTCCTCAAGGTATTTACTATTTTAATAGCTTCAATATTTAGTTGCCAAATTGGTCGCGCTGCTAGTCAGCAAGGCATTCAACTCTGTGTCTCATTGTTGTGTTCTATGTCGCGTCTGTTTGTCCAACACGGGTAAAATTAACTACACTGGGAAAATACACTTGTTTCTGACTGGGCTAACACATCGAAATATATTTTTGGAAGTTAAAATCACACTGAGTAAATTCTGTTGCTTCGGCGTGCTTACCTTAAGCCTTGCCTGCAGTATCTTAGATAATTTGTCAGAGAATTCCTGGAAAGATGCCCTCAATCGCAAAGACAGCGGGTGATAAACTGAGATCAGGTTCTCAAGCACAGCTGAGGCCAACAAACTTTTGTGGCCTCCAGTCGTAAGTACTATTGTTTGTATTTGCTTGTTATATGGATGTTCTATCTGCTTGCAGTTTTCAAAACCCCACCGAGTTGAGATAGATGGAGAATAGCCACTCGCCACATCAGCAGCGAGTTTGGTGACCTACTGTAAGGCCTCGTGTGACATTTGTGGTAACGGACGCATTAGAGGACCACATATTGTTCAAACAGCATAAAGCACGTCACTAGGTGGAAATGGAGCACTGTTAGATTCGTGACCGACAAGATCACTGATGGAGATGTGGCGTTGAGCCGTGTTCTTGCAAGAAGTTCCGCAGAGCTATCCGTGTTTTACTGGTTGGTGTTTCATAGAGGGGCAGGAGTTTTGTGAAAAAAAACTGGAGCAATACTGATATAATAAGTTCCATTTCTTCATTTTGGCGATCAGGCTGTCCGCCGGTACTCACTTCGAGGTTATTTGAAAAATCTTGATCATAATCCAAAAATGCATCTTCATAGAGCTTCGAGACATCTGCAGATATTTAGATAGATGCCTGTGGATTTGGGGCAAATAGTGTTGGAAAAAGGGATCCAGTGTTTTGGTGTTTTCTTGCTAGCCGTGAGGAAATATACCAAACCTCATGATGCGCAACTACGCCAAGTAATTTTGCTACAGTCTTCCTAAATGTAAATGTTTTTGATATAGAAATTTTCGTCTCTAACACAAGCATCAAATGGTTAATTTAAGCGATCCCTCGTATGCTCGTTTGGTACGCGTGAGCTATCTTTGCACTTCATGCGATTATTTTCTGCTTAGGTAAATTAAGACTGGTTCTACCTGTGACAGATCGTTCAAGTATGAACGGAGGAAAGGCATTCGAACGATTAAGGAACAGTATCTCTCACAGATCCTTGTGATTATTTAGTCTCAAAATATACCGAAATTTCAAGAAACATGTTGTGTGCAGAAGCTCCATCTGACCAGAACTCAAGTGCTATGAATATCACTTTCGCAGAATGGAATAAGGCAAGCAATCCAAGACGCTTGAGGATAGTTAGCCAACAGATCTGTCTTCCTTTTATACATGAGAGAGCTACGTTAATATCTGCCCAAGTTAAGACATTTGGGACGCAACTACCGACAGCATGGTGCGGGTAGTCTTGGGGTTTGTTCTATAATATGACATCAGAGAGATAACCAAAACATATGTGACTAGTATTTAATTGGTTTTTCGATTAAGAGTAACCACAACTAGGCCCACATTGCCAGTTATGGCCATCGTGCCTAATGCAAAGCTAGCGAATGTCAGTTCCTCGCTCGATATAAATGAACTCGAGACAGTCCAAGACTCAGTTGGCCTCAGTGGGTACCGCTGGTTAAATTGCATTTGCTTGCCACTTGCTTTGTCCTCTGCATGGTGTTAGCCCCAACAATTCGACTATCACTGACATCAAGAATGGCTGGATACTGCATAAACGGTGTACGCAGGTGTGCACCACCGAGAGTACAATATAACTGCCCCATTGCAGAATGTAAGCACAAACTTGGCATGTCCTTGATGATTAAGACGTGCAGGCTAGGTGTAACTAAATTTGTTTGGATATATAAAAATGCAAAGGTGAAGCTTGGGGTAACTTACTGGTTTTGCTGATTAATTGGATAAATTGATTGCGTGGGCGGTTTTCCTTAAAAGGGTTTATGAGGAAATTAACTAGACAACCGAAAAACATAAACAAAGATACTCATTCGAAACCTGTGTAAAATTCAATCCACAAATAACATCATCATCATCATCAACAGCATGACATCAGTGTTTAACACTGATGCTTCACTGCCATACAACCATGATTTATTTGAAAGCCTTATTGTAAACAAAGGAGTAGGCATGGAAAACAGCACTCTCTTCGGCAAACGATGGTTCGGCATACGTAACACATGTCCAAACCAATGCAGCTTCTGGTGCTGGACACATTCCTTACTGAAAGTATCCGTTACACAACAGAAAACGCACTTTCTAACTGCCTCGTTACGGATTCGCCGACATCAACGCACACGAGATATGGTTCTGAGACAACGATTGTCGAACACCTGAAGACGTCTCAGGTCCGCTGCTCGAATAGGCCAAGTCTCACA